AGAGGGAAGCCATTATAGTAGAAGCGCTTGCTGCTCCAGCCCCTCCCCAAAAATGAGTTAGTGAGAAGCCATTATAGTAACGCAATAGTAGCTGAAGGGTTAATCGCGTTTATCGCAAAAATAACTTAGACGTAATTACGATCGAGTCGGCGCCTTTTTTCTATCTCCATAGCTGGCTATTTCTCTAACGTTTTTAGTCGTTTCGTTAACCATTTACCTCGTAGGTCATTTAGAGACCTCGAATATTCTCGTTGTTCGATCGATTGCCGAGATCCCGTAGTAGGCGAAAAGAAAATAAAAAAGAAAATAATGATGGTATCGAATAAAAATATAACTTAAGATATTTCTCTTCGAGTAGTAATTAAGAAAAAACATGGGCAAATTGTAAAATTTCCAAATAGGCGTATAATCTAACAACTTGTAATTAGCTAGCGCACTATCTTTTTCTGTTCCTTTCTCTCCCTCTCTCTCTCTCGCTCTTTCTTTTTCTCTCTCTCTCTCTATCTCTCTTTCTCTCTCTCTCTCTCTTTCTCCCTTTTTCTCTTTCTCTCTCTCTTTCTCTCATAAATCGTCCATCTAGTGAATCTATTCGCTTCTCTTTCTTTCTCTATCTCTCTCCCTCTGCCTGTTTGTCCGTCTGTTTGTTTGTCTGTCTCTGTCTCTGTCTCTCTCTTTCTGTCTCTGTCTATCTCTCTCTCTCTCTGTCTCTGTCTCTCTCTTTCTGTCTCTGTCTATCTCTCTTTCTCTCTCTCTCTCTCTCTCTGTATCTCTTATTCTCTTTATCTACCTATCTATCCACTTTATAATCAATACTCGATTCGTCGTAAAAAATAAAAAACAAAAAACGAAAAAAGATCATTATGATATTAAAAAGCTTGTATTCCTCTACACACATCTTCCGTTATCAATACATATAACCATGTCTGTGCGAAAAAGACAACGAATCTAGTCGACATACGTTTATTTTGAAAATTACCCATGTAAATGCAAGACTTTTGTCCGTCTTTTTGATTTAAAAATATGTTAAACGCGATGCAAATAAAACTCTCTTTTATCTTCCGTCTTATATTATGTGTATTATAATTAACTATTATACAGACGTTGTAAAAGAAGATATACTAAAAATGATCCCGTAATGTAAAACTTTTAAAAGATTAAATCATTTTACGAGTAACGATCATTATCATTATTATTATTATTATTATTATTATTATTATTATTATTATTATTATTATTATTATTATTATTATTATTATTATTATTATTATTATTATTATTATTACTATTATTATTTTTTTTATTATCATTATTATTATTATTATTATTATTATTATTATTATTATTATTATTATTATTATTATTATTATTATTATTATTATTATTGTTGTTGTTGTTGTTGTTGTTGTTGTTGTTGTTGTTGTTGTTGTTATTATCATTATTATTAACATTATCGTCGTCGTCATCGTCATCATCATCATCATCATCATCATCATCATCATCATCATCATCATCATCATCATCATCACCATCATTATCATCACTATCATTACCATCATCATCATTATCATTGTCATTATCATAATTATTATTATTATATATTATTATTATTATTATTATACATTATTATCAATCCGTCTCTGCCGCTCGCATATTTCAAATAATTTAATCTAATAAAAGTAAAAAAAATAAAAATAAAAAAAAAAAAACAAATTAGATGGAAAAAGAAAATAAAATAGCTTCGACTACATTTATCCCAAATCTCATGCGAAAGACTATGAGACGGATGCCATGTTAATTGTTGGCAAAAAGATCTTGTTAAAAGTTCTACTTGTAAAAAAGAAATAAAGAAAAAAATGAAAAACAAGTGACTTCTCGTAATGATCGATGTCCATGAAAACTTCACGCTTTCGGTATCTTCGACGACACAACTTAAAATTAAGGCAAATATTCTCTATTACGTAGTATATATATTGTATTATAATTTTATCAATCGATCGTCATTTCTCATAAAACAACGATCGAGATTATTAATTAATAGTAGGAAAAATCGAAAAATCCATAGGAACAACGAACGACGACCTAAAATGATTAAGGTCCATTATCTTATTCCTGCTATTAGGCGATGTTAAAAATCAATTATTATGTCTATCATAATTTCGATTTAAGTCGTCGATCAATTTTACGCTTCACGTTGCTAAATCATGAGAGTCACGTTTTCTCTATACTGATCGGAGATCTCAAATGTGAACGATTAATAAAGAAAAGAAACAGAAAAATAAATAAAAAAATAAAAAAAAAATAAATAAATAAATAATAATAATAAAATAATAAATCAATTGTAATTGACTCAAAAGTGCAAAATATACAAACATTTAATGTTAATTAACATCGATATCGAATTATTTTTTATTCATCCCCTAAAGTTTAAGTAAAAAGTTTTATCATGAAAAGTGTTTCTATGATGTGTTAGAAAGTGTTACGTACTATGACGAAATTTTCTCGGATAACGTGATAACGAGAAGAAAGTTCGAATGTACGGTGGTAATGGTTGAAAGTAAACTATCAAGGGGTTACGTGAATTATTAATCGAACACTAAAAATGTTTGCGCTACGTTTCATGAAACGTTAAACATTTCGACTAGCATTTTTATTTAATCGTATTAAATTATTCTATCAATAAAGATAAATCATTAAAAAGTCTCTGTAAATACGAAATTCTTATCACATGGAACTTAAGCAAAACTAAGATAAATCAATAACGAGAAGTTATGAATATTTTTATACACTTTTTATATACCTTAAAGATCGTAAACATTATCTACGTTAATGAAAAGCAACAAAAGAAAAAAAGGAAATAAAAAAAAAAGAAAATAAAAGTAAAAAGCAATAAAAATCAATACTAACGATTTTAATGAAAAGTGCAGTCACGACACGACACGTAACTAGAGCCATGATAAAAACTGAAAGAGTCAACGTCGAAACATGTCAAAACGTATATCGCAAATAATAGCATATCGATATTCGAGTGAAAAGAGCACCGCGTGATTTTTCTGAACATACGTATGTACCTACATACGCATATACGTATGTATGCATATATATATATGTATGAATGTATATCCCAGCCAACAACGATCGTTCAATAGGTGCTTTCTCATCAATACAAAATGCGAATTAACCAAAACAAAAAATTCTATGTATGAGAACGGATACAGGCAATATGAAAATTCAATAATCGTAAACAGCAGATCCTCTCATACAGATTTTTGTCGATAAGCTCTACTTAAATTATTCCAAAATCGTTGCAGAAAAGAAATAACTATCAAATAATGATGGAAAAATATGAACTTTCAAATTGATAATCCGATAGATTAGTACAAAAATTTTCGATCTATTTAAAGAAACGAAAACATTACTTAAAATAATAAATACATAACTAAAGTAATAATATATCTATCGTATACATCTCTTTAGTCTTTAACGTTTTATCGATTACATGATGGACTGAAATGATGACTCGTCTTGAATCTTATCGAATGTTTGGATATAAAATACCCACACAAAATCCTTCTACCTAAATTCTTTGAAGCATATAACCATAACTAAAATCGTAGATCTGTCAAAAAGAAACGATTGTTTGATCGTTCGACCATTCAAGGGGGAGAAGAGTGTTTACTATCATATATTTGAAAAAAAAACAGATAACGTCTGATGTTACATATATATTTTTGTTTCTCTACCTCCCTCCCTCCCTCTCTCGCTCTGTCTCTCTTTCTCTCTCTCTCTCCCTCTCTCTCTGTCTCTCTTTCTCACTCTCTCTCTCTCCCTCCCTCCCTCTCTCGCTCTGTCTCTCTCTCTCTCTCTCTCTCTCTCTCTTTCTCTCTCTCTCTCTCTCTCTTACTTTTCGTTCCCTCTTGTTTCAAATATAGATAATTTCAGTAAAAATATATACACACACACACATATGAGATGATAACTTGTCTTTGAAAAATCTATGAAATGGATTCATAATAATGTCATTTCTTATCGTAATCCATTAATCGAAATTATAAGTTCTATTAAAGAACTTTTCTTTATTTTCTTGAGGTATGATCGATCGACTTAAACTTATTAGTGCCATCCTTCTAATAATTAAAATAATTCGGGGTCATCTACGTAGCTATTTTCATGCTCCAATGTCACGAATTCTAAATTTAATTATAACTGACTTCTTATATGCTCGCTTGTAAAAATTAAAACAGAAAAAAAAAGAAATATTAATAATCATGCATGCCTATAAGTTCCGTTGTTACGCATCGACAATAATACATTATTAAAAATACTTAATATTTTACAATTTTTTTATATATATAAATAAATAAATACTTATATCAAGCATGAAATCTAAGCTGAAAGATAGAAAACAGATATATGATATCAAATGTCCATACGAGTACGATAAAATACAAAATTAACTCATGACGTAAATCTGGTAATTGGCTTTGGTGCGAAATGCGCATAATGATGTCTCCATCCATGAAATTTGCGAATAAAATGAATATTATATACACGTTTACATGTACTTCATACACAATAATATCATGAATCGGAAATGGATATGATAGAATTGTCTATAGGTTGAAAAAAATAAAAGTTATCTATTAGTTCGTGCCAATACAATCAATCGCTCAACGTTGAAACTTTTTAGATAGATACGATTGTCAAAAATCATTTGGTGGGGAGGACTCAAGCTTCACACTACAAAGAACGACCATCAATTTCGTCTTCACTAACGTTACTGGCTTGCTGCTAATTATGTCAATATAAAATATTTTTTTTCCGTTTTCTTCTGTTTGTTTTTGCTTTCTATTTTGTTCTCTCTTTATATAAAAAAACGTAAAACACGATCTAAAATACAAAACAAAAAGTTCGTCTATTTTAATATGTGTTCGGTGATGAAATAATTTAATAATTGAAATTAATTCAAGTGAAATGACTATTATTTCTAATAATTTCAAACTGTCCCAAATAAACGTTATATTGGCATTCTCAAGGTAAGTGAATTTTCTATCGTATTTTATTTTGTAAATATGTTATAATATACGTACATCGAAATATTATTGACTTGGGTGAAAAAAAATATTTTTGTATAAAGCTATTATCGCATGACATCGTGCTCGATTGAGAATAGAGCAGAATCGTTTGCGTCAAAACGACTTAGGAAGAATGCCAAGATCGAGAATGCCAAGTGAACTTCGTCTTAACAAGTGTGTCATCTTATATGCTTGCTTTTTTACTACCGTTTATTGCTCCTAACTCTCTCTATCTACTTAAAATTGAAAAATGTTTGACTAAATATTATTATAACGACAATTGAATAGAATAAAAATAGGATGTTTTTGAAATATTAATAATTTACATATAAAATTATTCTATTACTATATTCTTAAATATTCGTTAATAAATATAAATGCAAGATTAAACGTTATTATAATGATAATCAAATAAAACAGAAATAAAATGTTTTTAAAACATTAGAATTAATATAGGTAATTAACTCATTGATATATCCTTATTTATTTATAACTTTTCACAATCTAATCTGTTTGCTTGATTTTTTTTATATAACAAATATATTCGTCGCTATTTGCCATATCATTGAAAACATAAAATAATAATTAAATAATAAAGAAGATGAACTAATCATTTTTCTCTCGACCTGATATATTCTTGATTTTATTACATGTATACTTTTAAACTTGTAAAAAGTTATGAAACTACAGCAAATTTCAAAATTAAATTCGGTAACTATGAACAGCTCGATATTAAAGAGACTCGAGTAAATCTTTTTAAGTCTATGTAAACGATATACCGAATTAATTAGTTTCATTCTATTATAAAAATCTAATCAATGTTTGTCATTATTTAAATGATGCGTTACCATTAGCAATAACCTATTAACGTGTTTTTTGCTTCTTTTTTCTCTATCATTGAAATATTCTCAACGATTTCGCGTTCCGAATAAAAATACATAGGTATGTATATCTACATATGTAAATATACCAGGTATATTAATTTTGTCGATAAATCAAATCTCTAATATCGAAAAAAAAAAAAGCCATTTTTCGTGTTACAGACAGTAAGAAGTTCATCGATGATTAAAACTCGAAGATCAAAACGATAACGTTCGATAAAAAATTGATAATTCATATGTAGAAAAAACAAAAAAAAAAAAGAAGAAAAACAGATAAAAATTTATATACAGACGAATTTTACGTCAATCCTATAACAAGCTATAATTATGTCGCACTCAATGTGCACGATATTACGCTTTATTTTACTCTTGGGAATTTTAACAAGAGGGATAAAATGCGTCGATCTCTCAAATAAAGAATGGTGGGAAACAACGCTCGTGTATCAAATCTGGCCAAGAGGATTTCAAGATAGCGATGGCGATGGTGAAGGCGATTTAAAAGGTATGTATATACGTGATATATTTCTCTAGTATTGATTAGGAAAATTCTTTTCATTTATGAATAAAGAAAAATTATTACTCATTTATTTCTAAATCAAATATAAATAAGCATAAAGAAATCTTCCTCACCGTATTCGAAACTTTCATATCGAAAAAACTTCAAATAAAAGTGGAAAATTCGAAATTTGCTGAATCTAAAAAAAAAGAGAAAAGAAAAAATATTATAATTAATTTAATCTTATTATCAAAGAAATTTTATTATATCTGATTTACTTTTTATCGACGTAGTAAAAATGATCGATCTCAGCGCCACTGCTTTTCCTCCTAATGATGAGCTCTACTTTACCTATGAAAGAAACTTTTTATAATCTATGTTCTATCGAAAAATAAGATTTAATAATATTATATATTATTAAATCTAAATTTGTAATTAAATTCAATAAGATTTATATTGATAAAAATAATTAATAATAATGTTTATAAAACAAATAATATATCGATTATTTGAGTCGCGATATGTAAACTTGCGATATACTTAAATACCCTTTATAATTAAAATTATCGTCTGTATTATACGCGACGTAATTTTTACAATAAAAAGATATTATTTTGAAGTCCTGCAGTGATATAATTACTCATGAAGAGTCGAAAAATACTTAAATAAATATAAATATTTAAGCTATATTTATTCTTAGTAATTATTATTGAATAAATGAATTTTTCTATTCTTAAAGGACTTTATCATGAATATACATATTAGGTTTATATATACTATAGCCATTTTAAAAGTTCGTGGCTTTTTTTTAAATATTAGGTAGTCTGAAAAGTTCGTACCGATTTTGTCATTACGTTACTTACCAGAAATTGGCACGAACTTTCCGGACAACCTAATATATAACTTTCATTCTTAAAGTGAAACACATCTTAAAGTATATATCTCCAATGTACATACATACATCATACATGCATACGTACATACATAAATATTCATACAAATATACATCATACGTGTGCGCGCGCACGCGCACACACCATATTAAAAATCTCAATGCACAAATATTACTCATGATTTGAATTAATAAATTTTGTTTTAATTTGACTGTCATATATTATATATCAAATGAATTCCAAGTAAAATCCCTTGTATCATTGATCAATGAAATTCATACAATGAAAAACTTTTATTCTTTAACAATCTTATAATTTAATAATTACGTATTGTAATAAAATGAATCATCGGCTTCTATAATTGTCAATCCTAATAAAAATATTTTCTTTTATTGATTTCTCCCTACAAATTCTTCAAGAATTTTAGTAACTAATTTAACCATCATTGGCCATATTGCTTTCTCTTTTGTCTCGTTAATTTTGACGCGAAATTTTAAAAAGATGAACTTTAACCAATACATTTTTTGAATTTCTATTTATATAAATTTCATAAAGCAATTATGTATTACGAATATATTATAATTAATTTTTTATGTTACAGGCATTATTAGTAAACTTAATTACATTAAGGAACTTGGAATCGAAACAATATGGCTTAATCCTATTTATGGATCTCCTCTAGTGGATAGTGGATTTGATGTTTCTAATCATACAGATATAAATCCTTTATTTGGAAACTTTGCAGATTTTTATAGAATAATAGAAGAAGCACATAAGCGTGGTATGTCTCTGTCTCTGTTTTATTTTTCTTATGACAAATATGTACATGATAAATCTTTTCATTTTCTCTATATAATAAAAATTTTTAACTATCTTTTAGAATTAAAGGTCATGATAGATATAATACCAAATCATTCTAGCAACAAACATCGATGGTTTTTATTATCTACACAAAATATTAAGCCTTACAATGATTACTATATTTGGGCAAATGGATCTGTAGACAAGAAAGGTAATAAGATGCCACCTAATAATTGGGTAAGTATATTTCAAAAGATTATTTAGAAATAATACTATATAAAATAACAAATAGATAACAAGATAATATTGCTTAATTAGGTAAGCACTTATAATAAAGAAAAAGAAGGATCAGCATGGACTTGGAATGATGTTAGAAAGCAATGGTATTATCATAAATTTCACGAGAAACAACCAGATCTTAATTTACGAAATGAAAATGTTATTAAGGAATTATGGGTACGGTAAAAACATAACATTATTTACATGACATGGTTAAGTAAATTTGCTTGCACTACAAATAAATAATAAATGATATTTCTTTATATAATAGGATATTTTGAAATTTTGGTTAGAAAAACATGTAGATGGTTTCCGTTTTAACTCAGTACCATATTTTTTTGAAGATAAAGAATTACGAAATGAACCATTTGTTGGAAGTGGTAATCATACTTTTGGACTTAAAGAAAGTATTGAACTTCTTTATGTATTTCGTGCCTATATCAACAACTGGGTAGAAGAAAACAATGCAAGTTCAAAGTAAGTTGTTTTCTCTGCTCATCCAGTTTATTTTAAAGAGATTTAATCCTAATGCAATCATGCATTTATTTTTTAGATTATTAATAGCAGAATCATATGATTCTGTTCATAATCTTATAGCTTATTACGGTAATGATACACACAAAGGTATTCCACCTACTAATACACTCTTCATCAATCCTATTCATAATAAAACAGATGCTGATTATATCAAAAGCGTAATAGATGAATGGTTTCATCTTTTACCTGAAAATGCAAGCACAAATTGGATGGTAAGGAAAAAGTGCATAACTTGCAAAATAATTCATTATAATCTATAAAATAGATTTAATTATAATCTACAAAATAATTTTTATATCATTGTAGCTAAGTAATCATGACTTCTCGAGAGTACCATCGAGAATTGGATTAAATCGTGTTGATGGACTTCATATGCTTAGTTTACTTCTACCTGGGCAAGCATATACATATTATGGTGAAGAGATAGCAATGTTAGATTCCAAAATTCGATGGCATGAAACGATTGATCCAATGGGCTGTGCTCAGACAGAGGACACATATGAAAATTTTTCCAGAGATCCAGCAAGAGCACCTATGCAATGGAATAACGAAGTATCCGCTGGTTTCTCCACAAATAAATCTACATATCTTCCTGTAAACCCTGAATATGTCACTAGAAATGTGAAATATCAAGAAGCCCAAGAACGCAGCAACTTAAGAACTTATAAAAGGCTAGCCAAACTTAGAAAAGATATAGTTTTTACTCATGGAGACTATGAACTTAAATCTACAAATAATAACAACGTACTTATTTTAAAACGGTTGGTGTATTCAAAATTATTAAAGACGTGTATGTGTATGTGTGTGTGTGTGTGTGTGTATGTGTGTGTTTTCATAAGGCAAATTCTACTCCATAATATATGTTTATATACAGATCATTGCAAAATCATCCTGTATATATAGTTATTGTGAATCTGTGGATTCATCAAGAACAAATAAATTTGGCATCTCTATATCCAGATATAGATGACAATTTAGAAATTGTAATATATTCAAGTAATTCCATCTATACTACGTGAGTATATGAATACAAAGAAAAATATTTATAAATAATTTATTGAAATACATAACATACATTTATTTTTTCAGAGACACTGTACCAAGAAGTAATATTATGCTTACGGCAAATGCTGCTTTAGTATTAAAAGGAAAGGAAACACCACAGACTACATCTACCATTTCTACTATTCCTACTATATCTACTATATCTATTCCAGTTAGTGACATAACTCCATCAGTAAATGTTACAACGAAAGACCCAAACAGTTCAGAAAAACCAACGGAAGGCCCAATCAGTACAAAAAGGCCAACAGAAGCGCCAGACAGTACAAGTAGTCCAACAAAAAATCCAAGCAGTTCAGAAAAGCCAACGGAAGGCCCAACCAGTACAAGTAACCCGACAAAAAATCCAAACAGTTCAGAAAAGCCAACAGAAGGCCCAACCAGTACAAGTAATCCGACAAAAAATCCAAACAGTTCAGAAAAGCCAACGGAAGACCCAACCAGTACAAGTAACCCAACAAAAAATCCAAACAGTTCAGAAAAGCCAACGGAAGACCCAACCAGTACAAGTAACCCAACAAAAAATCCAAATAGTTCAGAAAAGCCAACAGAGGACCCAACCAATACAAGTAAGCCATCAAAAAGTCCAAACAGTTCAGAAAAGCCAACAGAAGACCCAACCAACACAAATACCTCAACGAAAGACCCAAACAGTTCAGAAATATCCAGCACTTCTAAATTTATCTTGATACTAAGCACAAGTTTGATTGTTATATTATTATCTGCGTTTTGAATTATATTATATAATAATAAAAGAAAAGTATACATAATACTATTTTCTTACAATTCTAAACATTTAAAATTATAATTTCTCAATATTTAAATGTTTACACGTTAATGAGACGCAATTCAATACCAAATGAATCATATCAAAGCAGATTTAACTGTGATTTATAAATTAACTTCATCATGCAACGTATACAAGAGCGTTAACAATATGATAAATACAGTTGAAGACATTCATTTAGAAGACAAGTTTATCGTGCATTATCGCGAAGAGAAATAGTTATAAAGATAATTTTTAAATCGTATAAAATAATTCTTTATTAATTATCCTAATAGATACAATAACAGTGAACTGAATTTAATAAGACTTGATAGAATGTTATCGAAAAAAAATAACTGAAATAAACTTGACAAATGTATAAATATCTAATCTCATAAAGATTCGTTTTTCGTTAAAGGATATTTCTTTTCTAAGGATAATGGATCGCTAGAGAGATAAATATGAGAGGTCGTCTACTATCTTATCTGTGTATTAATAAGAAAACAATAAAAATATATCATTCGTATTAATTGGATACTTATGAAAGCCGGCCACGGCATTTCGTATTATCTATAACAATAAATCGTTTGTTATCTTGAATGAATGAATCTTGTGTATGCGTGTGCGTGTGTGTGTGTGTTTGTATACATATATATATTTATACAACGTCCTTCCAATAAGGTAGAGATTTCTAACATTAATTCAATAAATGTATAAATGTACATATATACATATATGTATATGTACATACACATTTATACATATATAAGTTTATCCAGCCAATGCCTCATACTAATAACCTGGCGAATAACGTATACATATATACATTATATATATAGTTCTTATGTTGTTAGTTCGTCGCTGTAATTCTACGGAGAAACATCGAAACTAAAAGTATTAAAGAATGAAAAACGACGAAAAAATTTGTTTGTGTTATTACAAGCAATTTTATGATAGTATAAATACAAACATTGTCAAACAATCAAAATTAAAAGGTACGTCGGTCAATCACTTTTTTTTTACTTAATAAATACGTATCCATTTACTATTTCTTTCGTAATTACGATAGCATTTGTTTACTTTACGAATTCTTAATAATAATAAAAAATTTCTTTTTTTTTTTTTTCAGGCCGTCCGAACAATTATAACGTTACACCTTGGATAAAAACGCGATTATGTTTATTTTGGATGTTCTGGATGGCACTTTTATTAGCTCTTGTAATTTCTATTTTAATATATTGCTGTTTTTTATTATCGACATGCCCTAACTCGATAAAAAATATTAAACAAAATATAACAAATTTCTTGAATATCTAAATTTATGCCTTGGAATCTCCGTATAAAGAAAATTAAACGAGCTCCCACGTGCGGAAAGTTATTTGAAAGATTTTTGAATTATTTATAAAACGGATATTAGATAAGACGATGAAGAAAATTTTGTTTAAAAGGATTATACATTTATCATACGTATAAAAATTCAGATTGTATATTCCAATAATGTGTTTCATATAATTATTGGCCGAAAAAAATTATCTTATAATAACGAAGTATGAGTGAAACTTGATCAGTGAAATACGTAACGTAAAGATGTCAGCATTCTAGTCAAGGATTTATTAAAAGAAACAAAGAGATTAAGAATACGAGATTGTTACAGTGATTAACATTTTTTTTAATACTATAAGCAGGAAGAATAATACTATAATTCTTACGAGGTTAAATCCTTGATATGTAAAATCGGATTAAATATGAAAATAAATCAAACGTCAACTTATAATGATAGTCAGAGATATTTATAAATAAATACAGAAGCTTATAATAAAATTGTTATTGAATTAAATCGATACGTTATATACTCTTAATCCTTCCTAACTTATTGTAACTTTTACCACGATCTGTATATTTATATATATATACTTTATCTGCATATTTATATATATATATATATATATAATTTCTATATAGTTTATATTTAATATCTTTCATTAGCTTTTTTTAATCTTATCACGAGTCTCCATTCAAAAAAGGAAAAAAAAAGAAAAAAGAAAAATCAAATATCGCGCATTTCTATAATACGTTTGAAGTCAGTCGTTTTGATAAAAATCGATAAATGCAACATTAGTATGTAGCATGACACGAATTATGAGTCAAATCAGAGCAATGTACCGAAATAAAGTATCGGAACTAGTAATTGTAAATCCCTGAGTCAATAAAATTATTGGATTTTTTATTTTATCATTTTTTTCATTTTAATTTTTTAATTATTTCATAACACATTCAATAACAATATGAGAAAGAGAGGGATTTTCAATGGCGAAAAATTAAAGTAATAAATAAAGAAGAAATTTTTTTTTAAATCTTCTTAATTTTTATCCTTCGAATATTAAAAAAAAAAAAAAAAAAAAAAAAAAGCACGAAAAAAGTATATGCCAGCCCTGCGATCATACGTGAATACATCGTGTTCTACATCTCGATTAAATTTTATTCCATTAGTACTAACGGAGAGGTCAAAAGTAAGAAGAACTCGAAGAAAAATCGTTGAATTTTCAACGGTACAGAGTTGCGCAGACTAGTCTTTCGATCTTATTCGAGGACTGCGAGTGGATGCTGGTGGTTGTCTAATCACTAAGTACGTTAGAAATTTATATTTCATTTTATCGATAGACCTAGATTTTTTATTTTTTTATTATTTCTATCCTATAAAACAATCGCTGAAAAAACAGCATCTTATTTAATTTATTTATTTTTAAATTAAATAATAATTCGGATTTTTTAGATTGAATTCCGAGTTTAAGCTGAGCTACGGGAATAAGAGACTGCGAAAGTTAGGGGTAAGTACAGTGTAGACAAAGAATTCTATTTAAAAATTCAGATGAGTTTCTCTACGTTCTACGATATACATACGTACTTAATAGAATTGTTTCGTAGCTATGGAGAGTGGGAGGCAGGATTTAGATAACAACGAAATGAAAGAATCGTCTCGGGCGTCTTCAGTCGTTCCAACGTGCAAGTCTGAAACAGATGATAGTACTCCAGTTTCCTTTGATCAACAATTAAAATCTTACGAACTTTTAAACATGGGAAAACAAAATGGGGGAGAAAGTGATCTCGATGATGGAACAAAGGAGAGAATGCTTACGGATGAGAGTAAAATTTCGCCTACTAAAGATGCCACAGAGGTAATATCAACGCCATCATTTTTATTTTCTCCTTTTTGTTTCTTACATTATGGATTTATTATGCTTTCACATGGTTTTTTTTTCTTTTTTTTTTTGTAAATATGAAACCGAGAAACTATGCATTTATATATTATGTCGAGACGATGTGTAACATAAGGTATACGATAACGTATAGATATATTTTTATAATATAATTTTTCTTCGTATTTCAAAGAAATTAAGATGAAATTAATGTAGGAAGAGGACGGTTTTTCCAACATAACCGGGTATTTACCATGACTTGCAATATGAATAAAATATTGCTCTCTTCAAATAAAATACAATAATTTAATTTAAAGATACAGATATTCTATTTATTTATTATGTAATAAAATGTAAGAATAATAAAGACACGTATTAGATTTTCTTTAAAAAAATCGAAGATCTTTTTATGATTACGTCTATATTTTTTTAAAATCTATTATATCGAATGGAATTCTATTTTTAGAAATAATTTGTTAAAACCAGTAATAATCTATAAAAGAGATTACTTTACTTAATTTTGTAAAGAAATAAAATGATGTATAGAAGCAAGAAGTTTTCGAAATTGCATCATACTTTCTCTTAGTGAAATATATCTAAATTAACAGTTTATAGTTCTTGTCATTATTACATGAAAATAAAAATATTTTTCGTTTATAGGTTAAATTTATATCGGAAAATGGAGATGCAAAAATCGATATTGAAACTGCTAAACAGACATTTTCTGGAATGGGGAAAGAAGAGTTGATGAAATTTGCTAATGATCCATTTTGGGTTCGTTTAAGATGGTTTTTATTCATTAGTTTTTGGATATTATGGATCGCTATGTTAGCTGGTGCTATAGCTATTATTTTAATGGCACCAAAGTGCGTAGCACCAAAGCCTAGAAAATGGTGGGAAGAGAGTCCTATTGTTCGATTACAATTTTCTGATTCGCCTACCAAAAATTTAAAAGGTTTTCAATCTCTCCTGGATGAATTAAAGGAACAACATATAAAAGCAATTTGTTTACCATCGATAATGAAAGGAAGTTTAGAAGGTATAAACAAAAATAATGCAAATCATCTTTGCTATTGATATTCCTTCCAAAAAATATATATAGAAAGATTTTTATTGATATCTATATTATTACTTATGGCATTTAGGACATACGGAAAATTTCATAGAATTGGATCCACAAGTAGGCGACATAAGCGATTTAGAAGATCTTATTAAAGCTGCAAAGGAAAGAGACCAGCATCTTATTTTGGAATTAGATCCTAATCATTCTTCCATGAAACACTTTTGGTTCGAACAATCTGTTAACAATAAAAATCCTTACACAGATTACTATATTTGGGCAGATGGACATACTTCTGATGGTGAAAGGCAACCTCCTAATAATTGGGTATATTTAACATTCTTGTAATCATTTGAATCCTATAAGTGCCTATGAATGTTTTGTATATACATCCTTTCTATATACACATATTTATGGTTATTTGCATATATTTTGGATAAAAAGTATTTTATTTTACAAATGTATTTAGATTTTATAATTATTTATTTTAATATAGCTAAGTGTAAATGGAGGATCTGCCTGGGAATGGAATGAGCAAAGAGGCCAATATTATCTTCATCAATTTAATAAATTTCAGCCAGATCTGAATTTCTCTAACCCACAAGTGGTAGGAGAATTTGAAGTAAGTTATTTTTTGTTTGATAAACGATTTTGAATGAATTAATTGGTATAACATAAATCTATTTATGTTAATATTGTTTTATTTTAGAATATTTTGAAACATTGGTTAAAATTGGGAATTAATGGTTTTCGTTTAGCAAATACTCAATATTTGACAGAAGATCCTATTTTGAGAGATGAATCTCTGAGTACAATACCAACTGAAACTGATAATTATCAATCATTGGTGCATGTATATACCCGAGATCGACCAAAAAATGTAGCAGTTTTAACAAAATGGCAAGAAATAGTTTACAATGAAACTAAAGGGCAAGGGTAATTATTTTGAATATTTAAAAATCAAAAGAAATATATTCATATAATTATATATATTTTTTCTACATATGATGAGTTTCTAATAAAATTTCACAGCTTATTTACATTACAAGATGATATTGGAGCAGATATTTTAGAAGTTTACAATGAAAAGAAGGCATTAAGTCTTCCACAAAATTCTCAATTTCTAACAACAGCAAATGCTAGCATAAATGCAACAATTTTGTACAAAGGCATTAAACAGTGGATAAATATTTCATCTTGGCCTGGATGGGATGTAAGCATCGTTAAAATAAAGAGAAATATGTCCAACATATAAGCTTTTTCTTTTTTAGAAAATACAATAATATTTATTTATTATAGGTAAATGGAGAACAATATAGTTTAAGACAACGAATGGCAGGTGATATAGCTGATAGCATAACACTAATGTTTATGCTTTTGCCAGGAACACCTATTCTTAGATTAAATGATACATTATCTGCCAAAAATGCATTTGCAATATTAGCTAAAGCTCGTACAAGTGCAACATTTCTTTATGGAGAAACTGATCTTAGAGTCGTAAATGGAAGCGTTTTTGTATATACAAGGTAAAATCCTTTTAGATAATTACTTAATATATGTCAATATTTTTATAGTAACTCCTAATATGTGTATATATATATATATATATATATATATATATATATATATATATATATATATATGATAATCGCTAAAAGTTTAATGATACATTATTAACGAATAATAGTAATATTAATCATACTACAATAAATCTACAAAGAATAGAGCAATTGGTTGTATTCACATGATAACATAACACAAATTGATCCATTTAGAGCTCAATTATTATGTCCAAAGTTATTCTTTACATTGATATTTAAGGTACATAACTGATAATACCTTCATATAATAAACTAACCAAGATTAATTTACCTTGTTTCATGTTTCCTTCTATGTGTCACAGGAGTTGGTGAGTTCACTAACATACTGTATGCATTTCTCTGCATGTCATTTCAAATAGATCTTTTATTTAATATATGTAATTATGGTTTATATAGTTTAATAATAACATACACGATGTGTATGTTATTATTAAACAAAATTAATGGAATCAAAAGACCATTAAATTTTTATGGACCTTAGTTCTATTTTTTAATGAATTTTTAGGTTGAAAAGTGGTAATCCAGGATATCTAGTAGCATACCAAAGCGAAGAATATCCTACAATTATAGATTTATCATCTATACCTGGAATATCAGAAGAAGTGACTATACTTACATATAGTCCTAATTATACTCAAAATGGAGGTACCTTGAAGTAAGTACATAAAATCTAAAATATTCTGAAATAAAACCTTACAAAACACTACTAATTTATTCATTGATTTTTCAGAACAAAGCTATCTTCAAATATGATACCTATATCATCTAAGAGTACATTGATTCTAACTTTTGTACCCAAGGATGATGTAAACTAATATTGTGCATTTAATACTCACTCGCTATCTATAATGAACGTAATTATTTGTTTTATGCAAATGATTTGCTTGATGTTAATTACGATTAATATATCATTAAAAAGTATGGCAAAGTATTGAAAAGTTGTACATTTTTTTAACTCTATTTTAAAAAAGTCCATAAGAAATATTTAATATTACTTAGTAAACTGATAAAATCAAATAGAATTAAACTTTTATTTTCATATGTATACTTAAAAGGTATCAAGTGGATATTTAAATTTTAAAATTAAATGGAGAATTAAATTATTGATGAATAATATATAATAAGTCTTTATTCAACAAAAAAGTTTGCTTTAAAACTAATTATACAGTAATCTGATCTTATTAATTTATTTTTGTATATATATATAAATTTTTAGCTTAATGAAAAGAGTAATTTGAAATATTCAATAGAAGCTTATATTAACAGATAAATGAAATTGAGATATCAAATTCTAAAAAAATAAGAGATTTTGCTTGATTATAAAAAAGATATTTACCACTAGGATTGACACTGTTTCACTTACTGGTTAAAAAAAAGTGTTTTTTATTATTGTATATCAAGTTTATGTGGATCAGTAAACCTTGCTGTAAAAATATAAAACAATGCAGGTAAGGGAACCAAGACAAGCATTGCTGGATGAATACTAATACCACGTAATGTAGCAACAGCTACTACTCCGTAACCATGTAACAACCAATGACCAAGTATTACTATTACATTTTTTACATCTGAAACTGAGCTAAGTAACAGGGATTTCATGGTCTGTAAAAATTTAATAGATTAGTATTAATAAACTATATAACAAGATATAAATATTAAAGTAAATAGAAAAATATATAAAATCTTTTACCTGATTTAATTTGAAAGCAAAGTGTGCTGCATTTGATAAAACTGACAAAATAATAGTGATATAAGGAAATGAGTAATCTGCAAAATATAATATTATATCAGTGCGAAATATTTTATTAGTTCAATAAAAAAAGTCAATGATTTATTTCTTATTTACATATAAGACCTCCTCCAACGGCATGTAAAAGTGCTAAAATAGGATAGAAATATAGTGCAGCATATATTGAAAATTTTCCATGTTTAGGTAAGAATTTTTTTGTTATCATTGGCCTTAAAATTAGCATAATAACTACGCCAAGGGCATAAAAAACAAAAACCATGGTATATCTAAAAGATAATAAAATATAAATTAATTTATATGTACGTAAATAATTTTTTAATGGAAGAAATCTCATTGAAAGATTAAAATATACAATTAAAATGTTACTAACAAAGGATATACTGCTTCTTGAGTACAATGCAAAGTTGTTTCATAGTTTGGACTAGGATTATGTAGTAGTGTATACCAATCTGAAAGACGACGTGTTTTACAAGATCTTATTCCAAATGTACCGATAGGATCAGTTAATTGTAAAGTAATGAGGGATGCACTCAAAACTTCAAATAATGCAGACAGATGCAATGCAATGACTTCTTTAGGTATATTTCGTCGCATTGAGACCCCATCAATACAGAACCAATGTAAAACTAATGCTAGTAATGCCATGAATCCAAGATATAACCAATCATAAAACATAGGTGCATCTTCACAAAGAACACAGGCAGAAGAAACATTTGTTCTAAATCCACGAGGGCACGCACCACAGTCACTCCAATTTCCATTTGCTAATAATTCTTTTCCACAATACATACCAGGACATCGTGTTAATGTATTCATACTTTAATATTTCAATATTCTTTAACATATATTTTTTATAGAAGATAAAATTTACATAGTCTTGATGTAAAATAAATATTAAATTTTTTTAAACAAGAAATATTGATATATCGGCTCATATCTCTATTGCTATTTGAATTTATATAAAATCATATTATCTATCGTTAATTCAAAAATATCAATCAATATTAACTGATGTTTAATTTATTTAATATTTTAATATCACTGTAATATTGTCAATATATTTTGTTAAATCCTCTAAATCTAACCTTAAAATTTATAATACAACTTTGTTTTCTATTTTCGAAATCCATTAGCCATACACTACACATAGCATTACATACATACGTATGTTATATCTCATAATGCACGCCAATGTGGTCAGTTGCTGTAATCATGTTCATGTACCAGCCGGTAAGGTATATTTTGATAACATAATACAAACACGGTTTCTTGCTAAATTTTTATTTTCTATGTCAATGAAAAATATCAAAGTGCGGGAAAGTTATTTTGTAAAACGTCTCAATTGTACTTTTTGAATTTCATTTGTGTGTCTGAAGTAATAATTTAATATTTTCTGGCTTTATTTTTTGACAAGAAATATCAAAATGGAGATCACGTGGACAAATACTCGCGAGAGTTTAAAAAAGTTTGCGAGTGCATTAATGTGTGGAAAATGGTAATTTCTGTAGGCAAATTAATTTATGATTATTGTAAAAGAATATACAATATTAACATCTTTTTTATTTATTATTTTTGTTTACTTTTCATAGTAGAAGCAAACCGATAAATCCAGTTAGATATACCAATTGTGGACATTTTTTTTGTTCAAACTGTGTAGATGATTCAAAATGTTATCAATGTGATGTACCAGTTAGACCAAATGAAATACGTACCGATCATACAATATTAAATCTTATACGTGACTGTGATGCTATTGCGAATATAATTAAAGAAGAGTAAGATTTATTCATGTATTTTATATAAAATAAATATTATATATTTCTGAATATTAGTATTATATATGAAATTTCTTTTTATATACCATTAATAGAAATTTGTGGGACATACATATTGAAATAAGAAGTATTCCGCAAAGAAATAGATTACCGACTAATTCACAAAATACTATTATTAATTACTTACCAAGAAACACTGTTAACACTGTTAAGAACATAAATAAACGTAATCCAAAGGGTGAAACCCCTTTACATACAGCTTGCATAAAGGTATATTATATAAGCTTTACATATTTTTATATATTATATTATATATTATATAAGTTTTACTTTATTATTTACTTATATATAATTATAATATAAAAAATTGCAAGTTGTAATACATTTGTATAAAATATATTTAATTTTTTTTACAGGGACAGAAAGAAACAGTGGAATCTCTTCTTAAAGCTGGTGCAAATCCAAATACAAAAGATAATGCTAACTGGTCACCATTGGTAAATTGCTTAATATAGTTTTAGTTTTTCTTAAATGTAATTGTTAAAATTATTCTATTTATTGACTTATCAAAATTCTTTTCTCAGCAAGAATCTATAAATTTAGGTCATTATGAAATATGTGAATTACTATTAAAGGCTGGTGCATTTTCTAATATACCAGGTATAGAAAATAGGACACCTTTACACGAAGCTGTTATAAATAATAGAGTAAAAGAAGCAAAACTATTACTTGAATATCATGCTAATAGAGATGTTTACGATCAGTATGGTAAAAAACCTATGTATGTATCTATTTTTTATCAGAATATATCTAACATTCAAGAGTTTGATTGTTCCCAAGTTAATAAAATGTAATACATACTTTTACAGAGATTATTGTTGCTCTAAAGAAATGCAGGAAATTCTATCAGATATGGATTTATTTTCTAATAATGTAGACAGCGAACATGATTTAAATTGTACTCTCAATCAATCATTATATAATAGTAATTTGATTGTATATTTATCGAATTTGAATGAAAGAAGCCAAAAATTATTTGAGAGAGCAATTTCAAAACATAAGATAAAATTTGTGCCTACCTATAAGTATGTATAAATCAGAATAATATAATTCTTATATTTTCTAAAGTATAGATATATAATATTATTTTGCTTTAATTTAATATATTAGATCATGCGTAACTCATGTAATAGTCGAAGCAAATAATCAAAATATTACCAAGCTTACCTATGATGTTATGCTTGCTTTACTCCATGGCAAATGGTTACTGACCAGCGAATGTAAGAAGATTAATTAATGATATAAATTGAAAAAATTCATTTATTTATATATTTATTATATTTTTTTCATAGGGATTTCTATGAGCTTAGAATTGGAGGATATACATCAGATGGAATTAGAATTATTTGAAGTCAGTGGTTGTCCTATTTTGGGAGTACCCAAGCGAGCTAGGGAAAACGAAGAACATCAAGTAAATTGGATAATTTTTTATTTATTCATTGTTTTTTCTTTTTTAATAACAGATTAATATACCTAATATACATTTTCTTTGAAATATTCTTTTTCTTCAGAATCCACGATTGTTCAATCGATGTTACTTTTATCTTGCTTTACAAGCTAAGGTTGTTTATCGTATCGGCGATGTTAATTTAACGAAGGAAGAATTGACGAAGTTAATAAACGCAGGTGATGGAACTGTCCTTAACAGAGAACCGAATCCAGAAGATATAAAAGACAAGGAGCAATATATCCCATTTCATACCGCTCGTAATCCTCATCATCCTTTGTACAAGTGTACACACTATATTATATATGCTCCTGGGAAGGATGAACCACGTATAAAATATAACATGTGTCACATAAGAAGTCTACCTCTAATATGGTTAATTGAATGTATAGAGAAGTTTACTTTACTTAATCCATCTCATTTAGGTTTGTAATATAGCAGTTATATTTTTATATATTTTATTAAAAACCATAATTTAATTAATACGTACATTTTTATATTCGATATACATAGTTGACATATATTTTTATAATCGATAAATAATAAACATTTTCAGAATAGTAAGTATAATCAATTACTTTTTTTTATATACGTTAATGTACTTATGTATGTAATAAGATTTAGACTATTATCTCCGTCCTCTTATACATACGAAATTCATAGTAAACATACAGCTTGCATAGGCAATGATAATTTTTGAAGAAAAATATCGTACGGTATTATGTTGGTACATTTACGGATAAAGTACCGTTAGTCTTGCACATGTGTATTATACGCATTACACATTATGTGGATTGTATTATATGTATCTACAAGATATGAGGTTCACACAAATGGGCGGAGCAAAAGAATTGAAAGCGGAAGGGGCGAATCTGACCGAGAAGCAAAAAGTGGCGATAAAGAAGGTAAAAGAAGGGGAAAAAAATAGTGAAAGAGATTGAGTACCAATGAAGTTACACGCTACGAAAAAGAAAGACACGTTCGTTCGTAAACGTAGTGGTATCTCAAAGAACATAGTAAGGCCAAGAGAGAAAGGTCTTTGCCGCATACTCGTAAGGCTATCCACATTACGCGTGGTAGCATTTAAATGAATATATTTGCGTGTATGTATATCACGTATATATATATATATATATATATATATATATATATATATATATATATTTAGGACATATTTAAGTTTAAGTTAAATGAAAATCAAAATATTGCAAATTAAAATATAAACCAAGAGCTTTTAGAAAGAAAAAATTAAACAAAGAGTTTAGTAATCGAGGAGCATACAAATATACATTATGTATTATGTATCTTGTGAAATATATAATGTCTGATTATAAATATAATAAATCTAATATATTTAATATTTCTATTTTTAGATATTATCCCGAGCATAGACGAGATAAGAATATTATCTATGTGTTACCATAAAATTGTAGGTAATTTATAAATTATCATGAGGATATATTTCGTTTAGAAAGTAAAACAACAATTGTCATGTTTTTTTAGATTGTTAAAAGAAAAAGAAAGTAGGAGTGTCATCGATCGAGGAAATGGAACAAGGAAAAAGAGATACGCGTCATAAAACGATTCACCATTTAAAGGAGTCAATAAAAATAGATTAAAGAAGTAGGAGCATCAGGGAGACATCCGACGCCCCCTGTCAGCTACCCTTCTCTTCCGACTTCTCTCTCTCTCTCTTTCTCTCTCTCTCTCTGTCTTTCTCTCTCTCTCTCTCTCTTTCTCTTTCTATCTATCTGTCTCTTTTCATATCTCCTTCCTCTTCTCCTTCACTCTTCTTTGACCTTCTTCTCTCCGTAGGCTTCCTTATCCCCTCCTTTCCTTCTTCCGAATACTTCTCCTTGAGGTCGGTCAGAGGCATCGTCCTTCTCATGTACTGTACCAAAGACGGCGGCATTAGGAGAAAGAAGGAGAGATAGTCGCACCCTGACCCACAAGTGGGCATCGCTCTTCTTTCGCTCCAATCAGTCAGTCAGTCAGTCAGTCAGTTAGTTGAACGGACGGTAAAACGACGGATGATACTCTCCGCGTTATAATTCTTGATCATCGAATTATTCGTGATAAAACCGTTGTTTTACGGGCACATGACATCCATTAACGATAGTGTATTCAAAAACATTTCTCTTTTTTACAAATCTTTTTACATTCTTGTCGAATAAGAAGAAGAGGATATACTTTAGCGATAAGAGAAAGAAAAAAAGATATAATAAAAGAAGATATAGAAAAAGAAAGAAGAAGAAAGATCAAAGATGATACTAAGAACAGCCCTAAGGGGCATCGTCCTTTTCGTTATACTCATCGGGAAATCGGTTGATGCTCAAGATGATGATTCTTTAGCCGGCAGCTTCTTATCAGGTAAATTCAAGTTTGATGCGTTTTCCATCTTGCTTCCTTCTATTTCTTCTCTAGATTCTCGATAGAGATACTCGTCAAAGAGTACGCTTACACTCACACGGAACATGTCATATCCGATCTCATTTTTACAAGCAGGAAAAGAAAGCGATTAGTAACAAATCCGGAACAAGTAGAAATCTTTTTTCTAATGACGAATACCTACATCAAAGATCATGGTAACAGCACGTATTTATAACGTGTATACTACGATGTGACAACGCTTGAAGGTGATCGATGAAATAAAGAAAGAAATAAAGGAAGAAAGAAAGAAAGAAAGAAAGAAAGAAAGAAAAAAAGAAAGAAAGAAAGAAAGTGAGCACAGAGTGTCTGTAGATATATACGTACAAGTCGAGGTTTCGAGAAATAGAAATTCGCATACGCGCGCGCGTATGCGGCGCACGCTTTTATAGGTAGAATCTGGAAGGATGCGACTGTCCCACTTAGGAACTGTATAGCGTGCTATGCGGATAACGTTCGATTCGTTGGCGGGTATGAAGACTGCCTGCCAAATGGAAAAAGTGGTATACGTGGACACCTCTTCGATGATAACGAATATATTATAAATAATAGAACGAATGTTAAACAATCTCAATGAATTTCTAAGAATTTATCTAAGTATCATATTTACCGTTCTCACATTAGGAGCGAAAAATAATCAACGATAAAATGAACGCATAGTCGATATCCTCATAACTGATAACGGTTCTTAAACTACACACTGGTTTATTTATTTTATTTTTTTTTTTCTTTTTTTATTTTATTTTATTTTATTTTTTTTTTGTTTTTTCATTCAAGAAATAGAAAGAAGTAGAGTTTCAACAAAGTTGAATGAAAGAAAATGATGGGATGCGTGTGAGATTAGAGGATTCAAGAAGAAGGTATCTATTATAATGATGATGCTCCTATTCGAAATAAACCAATATTCGAGGAGATTCGTGTATCATAGTCGAGTTCGAAAAACTATTACGTTAGATAAAGCGAGAGGCACGTGTATAAAAGCCGTCTTCGGCTACACGCGACGAGTCAAGGCGCTCGTTAACTACCGTTATGTTTGTTTGGGCCGTTATGCCTGCCAAAGTGAAACCAACTGGCTTTCCTCGATACGTTGCGTGCAAATATCACGGATACTACTTGCCGTTTTCGTTCATCACGTACGACTAAACGTCCTCGAGAATTATCTTTGTTAATTTTTTTTCTTAACTTTCTTAATTGATTTTTTGTCTTTCTTCTGGAAGCGAAATCAATGATAATAGTATTTGGAGATTTAAAGAAATAGAAAAACGTAAACTTTTCCTGGTTACGCTACAAACAACATAATTCTACGAGTTGACCGGAAGTTCCTTCGTTGCTTCTATCGCTTAACGGATCACGCGAATCACTCTTCTTACTTATACCATTAAAGTACACGTATGACATTCCATTCTCGATATATATATATATATATATATATATATATATATATATATATATATATATACATACATATCTACCTACCTACCTACATACGTACATACATGCATACATACATACATACATAGAATATATATATTTATATATTTTCCAAGTAAACCATCGAATTCCTAACAAAATAAATTTTGATGTAAATTATAGGATAATCGATAAAATATAATACTTTGAGAAATAAATTCCCAACAGGTCGTTAACTTCTCCCTGCGGTATCTAATGTCAAGATCAAGTTCAGTCATCCTTGACCACTTTGTAAGCCGATCGTAGAATTACGTATGCAGGAATTTCTTAGCGGCTCTTGATGCTCACACAGCTGCACCCGATATACAGTTATCTTTAATGTTAAATTTAGGATAGGGGAAGCACATGATACGATAGCACGGGATAGTTCCTATATTTTTTTGTGTATCCTTTCCGAGTAAGATTTTCTTTTTAAAAGGTCTCTTGGATTCTATAACCAGCACGGCAAAGAGCGCGGATTGTCCTGGTGTTTGCGTCCATGCACTTGCAACCTTGATGTGCGATGAAGTACTCGAAGATGTTCAATGTCCAACGAGTAGCATGCGATGTTGTATTATCGAGCCGGTTAATTCTTCTTCTTCATCGTCTTCCGATGAAAATTTCATCGAGCAAACAACTACTCCTATAGTTTTGTCGACTACAACTCCGTCTACGACGACGACGACGACGACGATGATGACAACGGTGGCAGCAACGACGACGACGACGATGAAAACGACTACTACGCTTGTCTCTACACCAGTTTCTACTACACCGAGTAAAGTGAGTCTATTGATACTCTTTTTGATATCAAAGATACTCAATCAAACATAATTACCTAATGGTTCAAATAATTGAATCTTTTTTTAGCAAAATGAGCCAGCTGATAAATCTCAAGGTATGTTCTTCTTCAATCGAATGTTTATTTAAATATCACCTTGAAGAAAGGGAATTCGAAACGTTTCTCACTCAATTATCATTCATTAACAGGAAAAACGTGCTCGGGAATATGTATGCCAGAAAGGATAGCCGATTATTGTGATGCTATACTCGCTATAGACTCTCTCTGCAAGTTGGGACACAAATGTTGCGTCACGAGAGATGCTTTTGGTGATTCTCCACCAGCAGAATTATTGGTGATCGATCGAACAAACGCAAGTCGATACAATATATCTAACAAAAATGGTATGTCTTCTCAAACGAGTACGAGACCTGGTATTCACTCAACGAATCCATCAATGGCTACGACGACGACAACTAGTACGGTATGGACGTCGACTAAACAACCGTCGACGGCAATTACGACAACAACGAGTACGACGACGATGCAAACAAGACCAAAACCTACTTTGAGAAAACCATGTAAAGGCGAATGTACCAGCGGTCTATATGCTCTCTTTTGCGACAACATTGATACAGAAGCAGATTGTCCAGGAGACAGATCTTGTTGCATTACCGAATTACTTGTAAAAGAGGTACATAAGTTTATAAGAGTTTTATTTTGTTATTTGATTTTGAAGGGAGACAAGTTTTATACAAGATCCGTGTTCAGGAAGCAACGACGACCGTCCGTCCAACTACAAGGCCTTCGCCTCCTCAACCTAAACTGCCACCTTGCCCTGGTTTCTGCTTGCTGACAATCATGGCAGCATTCTGTGAACGACCAAACGTGATTATTGCTAAAACATCCACTTGTCAATCTGGATCGATTTGCTGTGACAACACGAAAAGTCCGCCGCAGGTGATTCTATTTCTTTTTTACGGTAAACCCCTCCTCCCCAAAGGAAGATAAGAGTCGAGGCAAGTAAAGATCTCGGAAGATGTACTGTAAACCGAGCGTTAAAGAGACAACGATCTTTTCAAAAAGGAGACTCATCGACCGACTTCTTCCAAATTAGACTCCAAGACCACGACCGAGACCTACGACGAGACCAACAACCACCATAACTTTACCACCTGATCCACGTCCGGAGTGTCCTGGTTCTTGCATCGTATCCTACTTATCCTTCACTTGTTTCAGTAAGTAAACTTCATCTTTATTATTATCTCTTATTAAAAAAGAATGTACATTTTCTTTCATTGATTGGGTTTATAGGAAATGCAGAATTAACGAATTTGTTCAAGTGCAAGAAACAGGGACATCAATGTTGCGCCCCGAAATCATTAATCAGAGAACTTCATGGTGGAAATAGCAGTGAACCGATTTTGACTAACAGAAATGATACTTACAACAATATCGTTACGTCTAAACCACATACGTCTGACTTTACTCCAACAATTTGTAAGTAATCATATCTTTTATATCAAATTTTTTTTCTTTCTCAAACGTTCTTTCAAAAATTTGGATATTTTTTTGCAGACGAAACGACAACGATGACGATATCGACGACTACAAAGAGTCCAGTGTACAGTAAATATGTATGCGGTGTAAAAGGAACTTCTCGTGGCCCGATTCAAGCTCGTAGTTCCGAAAGAGTTGCACGTGTAGTTGGAGGAGAAGATGCAGATGCCAATGAATGGTGTTGGCAGGTTGCTCTTATTAATTCTCTTAATCAGTATCTTTGTGGTGGAGCTCTTATCGGTACTCAATGGGTATTGACAGCAGCTCATTGTGTCACAAAGTAAGCTGAAAAATTTCTACATATATCATTTCTTCCATTACGTTGGTTTAATAAATAATGTCAGAATTTTATATGTAAATAAACGACGTATCAAATATATTTACTGACATTACTTATTGACAAACTCGATATAATTTCATTCGAATCTTCTTCGGAAATAATTGAAGCAAATTATATTTACAGTATCGTAAGATCAGGTGACGCGATCTACGTGAGAGTTGGAGATCACGATTTAACTCGCAAGTATGGTAGTCCTGGTGCGCAAACGTTAAGAGTCGCTACTACTTACATTCATCACAATCACAACAGCCAAACTTTAGATAACGATATAGCTTTATTGAAATTATATGGCCAAGCGGAATTGAAAGATGGAGTTTGTCTTGTTTGTTTACCTGCTAGAGGTGTTAGTCATACGGCTGGTAAACGGTGTACAGTTACTGGCTACGGATACATGGGTGAAGGTAAAAACGTAAACATCAATAATATACATTCATCCAGTTATTTATCTTTGTAATATCGTATCTTCGTTGTACAGCTGGTCCCATTCCTCTTCGAGTACGTGAAGCAGAAATACCGATTGTTAGCGATGCCGAATGTATAAGGAAAGTAAACGCTGTGACGGAAAAAATCTTTATACTTCCAGCTAGTAGTTTTTGTGCGGGTGGAGAGCAGGGCAATGATGCGTGTCAGGTATGTACACAGTCAATTAATTAATTAATTAATTAAATGAAATTTATTATAACAAGATATATACACTGTTCAAAACAATTAGTGACTTAATTGATTTTATAGCAAGCGTCCAAATAAATAGAATGGAAGAAAAAGAAGTGACCCGGGAAACTGTGAATTGATTTTTAATCGTTTTATTATATACATTTAAATCTCAGATATTATGTACCTTGTTGATAGAGTCAATGACTGCAATATTTCCTCTAATTGCTTTTGAGCAGTGTCTATGTATATTTTTATATAACGATAATATTCATATATTCAATATATCTTTTAATATCTAATATCGTCGAACATCATAGGGTGATGGAGGAGGTCCATTGGTTTGTCAGGATGATGGCTTTTACGAATTAGCAGGTTTAGTATCGTGGGGCTTTGGCTGTGGAAGGTTGGATGTTCCTGGTGTTTATGTTAAAGTATCCGCCTTTATCGGTTGGATAAATCAAATCATATCGGTGAATAATCTTTAATTGTCTTATACATGCTACTGAAAGAGTCCGAAAGAACTGAAACGTTTATTTATTATTAATAAAACGTTAATACACTTTGGTGCGCATTGCGTTGTAATATGTTTAACGACGTAGTGCACGCGTAACGAGGATGACGAATAAATTGTTTACAGTCGTCATCGGAAGCATTGAATGCCTGTGCCAAAAAATTATATTTTATAAAATGCTAAGCTAATTTTTTTGTTATGCGTGCAACTCTGGGATTTTTGAATAATAAGTAAACAAGAGGCTCGATAAAAAAGTCCCATTTTTTTTTTTTTTAGACAAACGTGTGCTCCATTTTTGCGCACTTGTGACAATAAGAAAAACAATATTTTTCTAATGTCAAAGGGTCCAAAATAAATTTCTTTTCTGTGCACTCATGTGTACGCGGATAATAATTTAAATTTATCTTCTATGTATTAGAAAACAAAAAAAGAAAGAAGAAAAGAAAGAATAAGAATAGAACTATAATGTACAAGTTATTTATTTATAGTAAAAATTGTCGGTAATATAAAATTATATATCAGTTTCTTTTATATATATATATACCTTTATATACAATTTCTTTAGAGATACTATCTATTATTAATGTTATCTGTTGCTTTTGACAAATATTCCAATTACTTAATGTAAACTAGCCATTTACGCTTATTATTACATCATGGAATAAGCTCTGAATATAAATTCTCGTTGATATTCAGATATTCTTTATTTCTACAGTAAAGTTTTGTAAAACTGTGCTTTGTAAATTATTGCTTTAATTCTCTAAGATATCTTCCTAAATTTTATCATTAAGAAATTTATATTGATTTATTTAATAGAGAGGGAGGGAGGAGGAAGAATTTGTAAATGCCCATATTAAAGTTAGTCGTTAAGCAATTTTAAATTTGATATGTGTACAAGTACGATTTCGTAATATCAATAATGAATATTGAAATTCGAATTAATTCCAAATTTACATGTTAACAGAGGCCTTTTTCTGAATACATTTTTTTATTTTATATATATATATATATATATCAAACAAGGTGATATATATATATATCACCTTGTTTGATTTTAATAAATTTGTCACGTTAATAATATATATTATCGTTTTTTATAAGAAAATATAAAAATAAAAAGTACACGGTAAAACAGTGCACTTCTTTCATTTTGTTGAAAATAATTCATTCATTAAACTTGACAGAATCTAAAAAATTTACAATTATTATTTATCACCTTGTAAATGCATGAAATGAATAATGTTTCAGTGTTATTAGATATCTTACAGAGAGTCTGTCAGGTACTAATCTTATATTTAGCAATAATACAGTACCTTTTCGCGTGTATGTTAATTTATTAACTTATTAGCATCATTCCACCTGTGCACATACATTTATATGTACAATATCTATTGTATTAATATAATGAAAAAACATGAAACATTCAAAAACAATACATTTGCTCAAGTAGGATTATATGATCAATTCTGATGAAGTACAATATATATATATATATTCATATGTAAAAAAAAGATAAAAAGAATAATTGTATGATTACGTGATACTCTTTTTTTTTTTTAAATATCTCTCTAAAGTTTTATTTTACTATATGTATAATGTATGTGTAAATGTATTATCAGTTATATGATCCAAGCACTTTTCGATTCGAACACCTTGTTTTTGATAATCGTTTGCTTTTCATCATGTCTGGTTTTAAAAATTCATCTTTGTCGTTTTCTTTATCATGATTCTGTAAAATATGTATACACGATATTATATAATTAATATAGAAAAAATTATTTCAATCGTTTATTCTAAATTTAATAAATACTTACCTTTATACATAAATCAGGTTCGGATTGAATACTAGTTTCAAGAGTTGGTCTTGGAATTAAGGAAATATCTGACGCCGAAGCAGCCCTGACAATATTGTATTTAACCGTATTACTTTTATCTGGTAATTCTCCGTTTATATTAAAAATTGGTGTTGACGCACTAATCACTGTGTTTTCAAAAAGAGGCGATGAAATGATCGTTTCATTTTCGGATGATTGGTTTAGAATCGTGTCTTCCTATAATAATATTACGTCTTATATAATATTAAAATTAATATTACGTCTTTTTTTATATATATACATATATTATTATGATTAAATTAAATCGGTCAAAATTATACAGATGATTATGTATTAAAAGTAACAACTTACATCACTTTCCGAAGTATTTATATTTTTTCTAATTTCCCTAAATCTTTGAAGAATACGTTCATGCGGAGAAGTTGCAGTCAGATGACGAGGGTATTGAAATTCTTTTCTTGCAGGTGTTAAACCTAAACGATGGAAATAAATAATAGTAAAAAGTAATTTAATAAAATCTGATATTTTTATATAAGATATTATGTGGAAAGAAAGTAAAAACCTGTCGCTACGTCATGTCGTAAGTCTTCAATCAGGAATTTTTCAATTTCATGCTCTGTCGTATGCACTTGTGCAATTATTCTATTATTGCATTCTATTGATTCTGTACTTCGACTTTCTAACTTATTTCCAACTTGTGTATTAGCATATGTAGTTTCTGTAATTTCGTTGATATTCTATTAAAAATAAAAAAGAACAAATTATATATAGTATGACTTTATAAAAATATAAACAAGAAATTATATAATTTCCATTATTTTAATAATTGAACTTACATTAATTAAGGTAGAAAAAGCGATTCTATCATTCTCTGTTTTATGTTTCAACGCTTTAGCATGATCTTCCGAAACATTTTTATATTTTTCTAACGCATTCGATCTTGCCGATAATTCTGTTTGTATTTCTTCTGTTAGAGTAACACTTTGCTCCAAAATTTGGTCTGCCAATATCCTATTCTATAATAAATGAATATCGTATCTCATTATTATTTAACATATTTTCTCAATAAAATCGCATTATGAAAACAATATTACCTCTTTTGTACTCATGGCAACATCATTTTCGATAATCGTAAAGTCATTTTCTAACTTGTCTTGTAAACTTTGTTTCTTATCTACACTCAACTTGTAGTCATCTTTAATTTTATTACTAATATTATCGCATGTTTTATTTACATGATTTAACATATCAGAAACCGCGATATGTCTTTGGTTTTCGTTTTTGCGAAGATTATTGAATTGAAGATATACATCTTCGAACATCTAAAAAAATTTTATATTTATAATTTGTATGTCTAAAAAATATGATACATATGTCTTTAAGTTTTTATACCTTTGCAAATTGTTGATTTTCTTGTATAGTTTGACCTTGATTATGAAGTACATTTTGAACAGTTTGTTCTATCTCTTCTATGTTCTTGCATAACTGATTACATTCTGTAAGTTGATAATTACACATTTCGTTTATAGATGTTTTTGCTAGTGTTGCTAAATGTTGAAGTTTTTGTGAAACACTTTCATTTAAAACGTTTAAATTTTCCGCTATTTTTGTTTTTACCAAGCTTTCAATTCTAGATACTAATTTTCTAGAAAATTCGTCTAATCGATTACGCTCATCTTCAGTTACATTGGAAACAACTTCAATTTCTTTTTTTAACCATTCTTCATAAACAGTATACTGAAAATATATCATTAATGATTATTTTATTGAATATACTGAAAATGCAATTAAATAACTTACAGAACTATCTATGTCCTCTGCTAATTTCTTAGTAGTAAGTTTGGCTGCTGTTAATCCTTCACTGGTAACTGTTTCTAAACATATATAAATTTTACATAAGCATATACATTTTTTACATTGCAATATACTTTTGATAAACAAGAATCTTTCTTTTACCAATTTGAGTTTTCAGAGACATGCAAAATTGTACCAATTCATGTGTATAAACAGAAAGATCATTTTCAATATCTTGGAAACGATTTTTAATATTATTTTGGAACTGTTGACTAAGATTTTCATTTTCTTCCTCTACTTTCCTATACATATATAAAACAAATGTAATTTCGTCAAATAATTATTATAAAAAGAAAAATAAACATCGATTATTTACTTACGTTTTGCGACCGATTTTATCATGTAATTTATAAGTATCTGTACTTGCTGTATCTGCAACATTCAAAAGTGTCTTTGCTTGGGATAATAATATTTTTTCAGTTGATACATGATTTTCTACAAGATATTTTTGTTCATCCCTTTCTTGCCTAGTCATTTTCAAGTGATTTTTAGTTGATTTTAATACATTAGTTGTACTTGCTAAATTATTTTCCACTTCTTGCAACTTATTTGTCTGTACATAATGTTCTACTTGCAAGTCATTGAATAATTTCTGTAATCAAAAAAGAAAAAAAAAAAAAAAAAAAAAAAAAAAAAAAGAAAAAAAATATATAAAAAAATATTATAATGCATTTATAAAGTAGCTAAAAAAAATCTTACTTCTTTATTTTGCATTGTTTCTTCGAGTGCTTTAATATGATTTATTTTTTCTTCTATCTCTCTACCTTGATAATCTATTAAACTTTGCATTTCATTATAATTTTCCTGTGCAAGGTAAACACCATTTCTTTCACGTGTTGCTAATAAATCTCTTCTTAATCTTTCAATTTCCTCTGTATATTCTTTAAGTAATGCTTTCTTAGAAAGCTTTTGATTAATTTCTGGTCGATTAGTAATATTTTTTGCTCTATGTGCATAGTCTAATGTTGATAAAGTTTCTTCCAGATTTATGCTAGCAGGAGATATCGTCGCAATTATAGACGTCTTTGTACGTCCACCCAGTGATTCTTGAAGAAGTCTCGTTAACTTAGATTCTCTATATGTATTAAAAATATTAATTGTATATAAAAACATTTTATAAATGTAATAACATAACATACAATTTTTTATCATATATACCTATATGGTATATGTGGTGCTCTTTCTACTAATGCTGTTATAACCCGTCCAAGAGTCAATAAAGATTGATTAATATTACCAGCTTCTCTTGCTCTTCTATCAACTGCACCAGATCTACCTACATTTTCACTTCCTGCTAAGTCTACTAAATTTAGTTTCCCAGTTTTCAAGAGCTCTTCTCCATCAACAGTGTTCTCTTTGATATGTACAGTGATTGAAAAAACTGTATGTGATCGACTAAAATAATCATGAAGATTATTAATATGAAAAATTATGTAGAATAGAGTTTTTTGAGACCATAAATTTTGTAAAACGTAATTATTATAACAATGCATGATATTATATTATTAACCTTGACTGAGCATTCATCAATGTTACTGCTGTTTGTCTCTTTTCTGATCCTTTTTCGAGGATCTTATAAACTTCACTTTTGTTATGTACAGTTACTTCTTCTAAACCATGAATGATAACAGCACCTTTTCTTGATGTATCTTCATATAATCTAATAATGTAATGTTATTTAAATGTAATTTAATATAAATTACATATTTAATAAATTACATAATTAATAAATTAATGAATTTAAAAAAATTCATAAATTTATAAATTAAAGCATATTAGGATTACCTTATTTTTGAAGCATCATCATTGGGTGATAGAAGATCAAATAATTCTTCATTATAGAGTTCTAGAAAACTGATTCGTACTGTGTATTCCTGAGCTTCTAATAATCGTAGTTCGTCAAACAAATGACTTAAGGTACGCGGTATAATTCCAGCAGTTGTGTCCTAAACAACATATGAATTAATTTATAAATATATTATTAAAATTAATTTATGTTGAATATTTAAATAAATTACACTTTGCCAATGTAAAGCTGGATCATTGCTGACGCCTTCCATAGTAAAAGTTTTTCCTGTACCAGTTTGTCCATATGCAAACACTGTACAATTATATCCAGCCAAAACTTCTTCCAATAGAGGACTAACAACAGCTTTGTATACATCAATCTAATATATATGATATAAACTAAACTAAGTCAATTGTAATGACAAAATATTTAAAAAAACACATATAAATTATAAAACAATATGCATACCTGCTTCGATAATGGACCAAATACTTTATCAAATGTGAACTTTTTTGAAAGTTTATCTTGCGGTCTTTCACGTATTATTACATCTTTATTCGATGGTACTTCCACCACTGACACTGATTTTCCAAGTCGTTCTGCATTATTTATCGGTCTGGTAAAAAAAAAGAAATTATTATACACGATAAAAAGCAAATTTTTACAATACAAATACAAATTGTTTTAATCTATAAAATAGTATATTTTTTTCGCGCACCTGACTCGTACAAACACTTGTATATGTTGATTTTTATCCTTTTTTCCAGTGCGCGTCTCATTCATCTTTCTGATATTTGATAATCGTATACCTTCTCTTTGATAGAATCTTCTATATTTATAAATTGTTTCAGATTTTGGTAATACCTCCTTTCTGTAATCACATACGCGCGTTTGATGACACTAACTTTTCCGTTACAAAATTTAAATTGAATAGTTCGTGCGAGTGACGCCAAGGTAGGCAATCGCGTTCATAAACCCATCTAATTTGAACATAACATAATAATGAGCGCAATGGACCAATCATCGTTCTTTATTCTTGACCAATCATCTCTGAGTATATAAATAAGTTATAAACGAACTACCACTCACAGAGTACATCATAAGAGACCTGTGAAGATTGTCATATTGTCTTCGTTATTACGTGTATATTTTAGTAGGTTGTCAGAAAAAATTATAGAAAAGAAGTTAGACAAATTGAAAATAATATCACAAAATATTCAAGGTACTTAAATATTACATATTATTTGACTTAAATATAAAATTATATTACAAATACGATAGGCATTACGCATATTTTTTGATACAGTAAATTCGTTTTACCGAGTATTTGTTTCTTTCAGATGATCACTGACGTACAACTTACTGTTTTCTGTAATATGCTTGGGATCATGTTATTTTGTCTAGTATTTCTGTTTCATTACATAAATGCGAATTATTCAAAATGAATGAACATATCATTTCAATAAATAATATAACAGTATATAGGTTAATCGCAGATTATGCAGTCCAGCTATTGCATGCTATACGATGTAAATCGTTTTAATAATATAATATAACATTGAATAAATTTTATTCTTATACTATTCCTTCCCTGTGACAGCATTAGTTACTTTTATTGATCTTCGACTGCGAATACTAGTCTGTTACGGAACATACAGTTCTTTCAAAGTAAAAAAGTTTAACTTCAACATTTTTCATTATTTATATATTTCATATATTTATTTATGAGTTTAACACTGTGAATATATTTATCATATAATATTCTTTTTTATTAAAGATAAATGTACTAGTAAAAGAATTTACTTATCCATTAGCATTTACTTTATGTATAATTCTCATAGCTTATATTCTAAAACTAAATCTTAGTTTAAGTTAAATATGAAATCGACATGCATAATAATGATGTTAAAGGCAACAAATTGAGAAGTATACTGATATATGTATAAGATAGAAGATATTCATAAATATTTTATCCAACATAATCATTACTAAGCTTATTTTCCATTCGTCTATTTCTGATCCTCTAAAAATATATTAAAATTTTTTAATGTTTTGGAAATATTTTGATTTTATATTCTTTTGACAAACAAAGACAACGGTATAACAAAGCCGACAATGATGATATAAGCAAGAATGAATCAAGAGCACAAAAACAAGGGTGGCACATCAAAGTGATGAAAGAAAAATAACCTTCATTTGATTTTCACTTATTGGAAGCCATAAATACGAGTTTAAAGCAATATTACGAAAGCGAATCGTGTGTAGTAGGGGATACAACTTTAAATACGTTCGAATAAAACATTACTCGCGCTTCTTTAAAGGGGGAATCGCGTTCTTAATTTGCATGAAATACGCGAATACATTTTAGTTTGTAACCATTCACGCGTTAAAGGAGATATACGAAAGGCGGTCTACGAACGTTTATCATTAAACGTGAAAATATAGATAATTTAAAAGTATAGATTAGTAAATCTGATAAATCACGCATTGATCTTTTTCTTTTTGTTTTTATTTTTCTTTTTTCTTTTCTTCTTTTTTTAACACGTTATTTTTGCGACACGTGCGTCATGCTAATCGCATGGAAATACAAGTGCAAGTTTATATACTTTTTAAATTATTAATTAAAACGACGACATATTGATGACGATGATAAATAATTACATTTTTCTTTCGATTCTTTTATTGACGACTTCACTGACATACCATCATCGATCATCGCCCTTCGTGAATGCCTTTCAAGTTGACGATTGTCTGGCACTTTGTTCGAACGTAAGTCTATGAAATATAGAGATAAAAAAAACAAAATGCAAATTTTTTGGATAATTTCTTTGACGATTTCATTGTAAAATACTTTTCGATATCAAATTAAAGGACATTCTTGGATTCATTGAGAGACTTTAAAGAAATTGTTTCATAGGTACTGAACGATCGTCTTTCATTCGTTCTTCGTATCATTGCGTACCTTTTTTTTTCAAAGATACGAAAAGAAAAAAAAAAGAAAAATGTATGCCTCGCATGCTTTGCACTTCAACACCTGCGTCAACATAACGTTTTGACTAATCTTTGAAAATTTGTATTCTATTATTTATTAAGCTGTAAAACAGATAAATTATATATGTAGATCATAGAAACGATAGAATCGGTTGTTGACGAAGAAAAATTATAAAGATAAATTACATATTTGCATTAATTTCACACATTATTGTAAATTGAACAAAATTACTATTAAAACTGAACAATCATTTTTTTGTATTAGTTAGAGTTGTTTATTTGCCGATTGTTTCGCCACGCGACTTGGCTGTTATCAAGTACACATTGAATTTAAGCAGATTGTAAATATTGAGCATATGCGCATTTTATAAATTGTATTAAGAAACATATATATACACGTTGCATTTATTTGCATAATGTATTAGATTTTCTAGGTTCAAACATTAAATTATTTTGTTTTTTTTATTTGAACGAATCATCAATAATTTTCATTCAATAAATCAAAAAATCTGATAAGTTTGTTTGTATTAATGCGAAAACAAAAATTATGTATCTTTTATTATAACAATTATCTAACGTAATCATACGTTATCAATTTGTATGAATTGAGGATATGTCGATCATAATTTTGTTACGAGAAAAATTATAATCTAAACTTTCTGTTTCGCAATTATATCGATAATTTTTTTTTTCGTATTAAAATATCGAAGAGAGAATTTTAAAGATCGAATTTGCTTGAATTTCTATAAAAAAAAAAATAATCATTTTGAAGGATGCATCTATCATTATTGCGTATCAAGAATGATTTATATGATATTTCAAAATAGTAGTATGAAAGTTTCTTTGAAATTATTATGAATTTCGTCAAGTCATCGAAATTTAAAAGAAAAAGATACACTATGTTACGAGGAACCTTTCCAACGTCTTAATTAAAAAAGGATTAAAGATTTGATAATCATTGCGATCTTTCGTTTTCCATAAAAACAATATCCCTTAATAATAATACATTGGAACAGAGGTGATTTTATATGTTCTTTTTCTCTTCCTTTGAAAATTGCAAATTTTACCGTCTCGGACGAGATATCTTTCGTACAAAATATTCTATCCATTAATGCAACGGCCTTTTCGACGTCAATGCATATTTTATATACATACAACGATGTGGATATAGAAGGGGAACGATGAAGAGAAGAGAATTGAATTCGAGCTGTGAAATTCATCGATATTCTTGCACAGGTTCGATCTCTCTCTCTCTCTTTTTCTCTCTCTTTTTTGTCTCTCTTTCTCTCTCTCTTGCATAATGTAAAATCTGTTAAAAATATATTAAAGGGTATGATAAAAAACAAAGTTATGTGAAAGAAATTGCGTTTCATGCTTTTTTCAGATGTCTTTCGTCATTGAAATCGTTATCTTGAAACGTGTCATAGGCACCAATGAAAAATTACCGCGTTCATAGTTTTTCATTTCGTATGTATATTTATATATACTTATTCTCATGTTTTTTGTTCTCCCATTCCTCAATGTTAATTTTATTTATTATTATCATTTCGTATTAATCAATAACTGAGTCCTTTTATTTTTCAGAAATCGTGTGAAAGTGCCTGTCGTCATAAGGTACGTTTTTTTCTTTGTAAATTTTTTTTAAAATGAGCCAGAAAAAAGATATTATTATTAATGAGATATTAAAGATATTAAATTATGACAACTGATACACACACACACACACACACACACACATACACACACACATGCACGCGCATAATATACAAGGTGTAATAAAACTACATGGTAAAACTTTAGAAATGGATTCCTTGTACGAGAACGACGAACTTATGGGAAATTTAAGGAGGATTAAGTGGAAATGTCGAAAATTTAATTCCATAAGGAAATGTTAATAGAATATATCATAATTCTAGTAAATAAACTGAACGTATAATGGATTGAGATCATACTTGAAAGTTTTATGACTTAGAAATGAAGCATTTTTGGATCCAATAATGATAGAACTTATTTTTTCTTCTCTACAAAAAAGCAATCCATTTCTAAAGTTTTGCTGCATAGTTTTGATAAATCCTGTATATTTGATATCAGGTTTATATCTTGAAAATATAAAAAGATCGACATTGTAACTTTTAGTTTTTATACTTATACCGACAGATATAAGAATGAAAACAAAAAGAATTAATGGGCTCACGATCCATAATAAGTATTCAAGAAGTACACTATTTTAAAGGAAAATTGCGAAATACTTTGCTTTCGATGAAATATAATGTATTATGTAATAATTCAATCGGCTGTTTCAAAACATAGTCAAGTTAATTTCTTCTTTTTTTTTATCGTCTTAATTCCGTTTCAAAATTGAAATAAAAATGTTATGTAAAAAGATTATTGTTATTATTCGCATTGTATTGTTTTAAACAATTTTTTCTTTGCCAGAAAAAATGATTCACGGATTTTAACGTTTTTTTTATAATTTCGGAGAATTTCTTCGTAGATAAACGAGGATGCGAATGCAAACATCAGTTTAAACTGTAGAGGAATGGATTCTATCATGATTAAGCATAATGCCGGAACATATATTATCGAGCAAAGTTCAAAGGATCTTATTTGGAAGACAGTAAAAATTGTAATTAAATGTATTAATACTTTGATTAAAAAAAAAAAAAGAAAAAGGGAAAAAAAATTATGACTGTTAATAACTTTCTTATTTTCAGAGCGATGGCAAATTCTCCTCCTTTTCTAATTTAATAGCAAACACATCTTATCGATTTCGTTTGAGTAGATTAATACGACATGGTGTATCTCGATCAGAAGTATCAGATTGGTTTTCAACTTACGACAGTAAATTAGTCTTTTCAAATATACGACACGTCAATTTTAATTTCGTAAACAAATGTATTCTGATTGATTTCAGTTAATTATGTACCGAAGAAAGTTTCGAACGTGTCTTTGTTGAAAATAGAAATAGATAAAACCGATGTATGTCGACTTTCTGCAGACATTCGTTTCGAGCCAGCGGATGGTAATGCTAATGTATATGTTACGTCATAAAAGCAAATAACTTGTTTTTTTATTACGAATTTTAATATAATAACATAAATATAATATATCGTAATACATCTACTTATATATGTATATATGCAAACACGTGTATGGTATAATACTTGTAATATTTCAGATTTGAGTTGCGATTATAATATTTTATATTGGCAGTACGAACATGATTTAAGACATTTTGTAATTCGAAAGGTAATTTTAAAGAAAATAAAATTATATTATAACGTTATAACAAATAAAATTAGATAATAATTAATTAGTTTTCATTACTTACTCGGGATGTTCTTCCAGGCTCCGACTTTTCGTTTCCATCTTAAAAATTTAGAATTTGATCGGAACACAACGATATATATTTCCTCTGTGAACGGTGGCGATCAGAAATTTAGCGATCAAACGACCTTAACATTTGTCACACCTTCTTGTTTGGAAACACATAATAATTTAAGGATTTGCCGTTAGTACACACTAAATTGTTAAATCATTTATAACATGAACGTGATCTTCAATATTTCGTAGAAATATATGTATATATATATTTATTTTACGATATTTTATCACAGCTCCGCAGAAGGTCGAAGGACTACGCGTAATAGATATTTATAAACATGATGGTCTTTACGATGTTACCGTTAATTGGGATAAACCTAGCAAAGAACCGGATAATTATACGATTCAATTGGAAACGTTTCGAGAAAATAAAATACTTCTAACGATACCTGGGGTTCGTATTACGATCAATTTCTATTTCTCTCTAGATCGTTACAGTACTATTTAAAAATTTGTGAAATTTGTTATTATATAGAATGCAACTGAGGCTCATTTTTTAAATATCAAATTGGAGCAACAATATCAAGTTAGTATTATCGCTGATTCCGTCGGTGGTTCTAGTCCGGTATCTTGGAAGATAAATGATTGTAGTGTACCAATAGGTAAATAGAATGAATTTTCATATATCAACAAAATATTACTTCATTTATTATCAATTGATTCTTAATTCGTTAAATTTTTTTCCTTTTCTCAATTAGTAAATGAATACAGTCTTTATCAAAAAATCATGATATCGTTAGCGATTTTAATGACGGTCGTGATATTGATGATAATTTGCATGTACCTGTGTAAACGAAGAGAAAAACTATGTTGTATACAATATAAGAATTTTCGGGTAATCCTTTAAAAATCACATATCAAATTAAATAAAAAAATAAAACGAACTTTATACCTTATTTTCTGTATTATGAATGTAGGTTTTGAATCAAAAAGAATTTCCTATGAATACACTTAAATTATTGCAAGAAGATAAGAATGTGTCTAAAGATGAAAAAGTTACTTTGCCATTGGATAAATTTGAATTATCTCCGAAAAAATTAAAATTAAGAAATATTCTTGGAATTGGTGCTTATGGGATCGTCAGACTTGGAACGCTTCAAGATGATTTCGGTATTGTTATTAACGTGGCAGTTAAAGGGCTTAAAGGTATTAACATTATCTAAATAAACCTAGCAAATATATTTGTATATTTTATTCTAAGTATCTAATGAAACATTACTTATTCGTTACAAAGATAATCCAACTGTGGATGATATAAATAACTTTTATCAAGAAATTCAGATTATGAAATCAGCTGGTAAACATCCAAATATAGTTTCATTGATTGGATATTGTACAATATATAACAAACCATTGCTGATCGTGGAATATTGCTGCAACGGTGACCTACAAACGTATTTGAGAAAGGTTGAGACTTCAAACACTTTCTTCGTTCTTTTAGAGTACGTAAATATGAAGATCAGTTACTGATAATTAAGTAAACATTCTTCTTTTTTGTTTTCACGTTGTTTCAGATATGGAAAAATACGATGAATGGTGTTTTCGATCATAAATCGCAATTTACATTTGAACAATGTTTTCATAATTATGAAAATGATCAAGGTAACCGAATTGTTGAAAATCGTTTATATGATATTCAACAAGGTAAGTCGAATTAATATGTAATTATTATTTTGAAAAGTAAACAATAAAAATAAACATTTAATTACAGAATAAAATAATTATTTGATTACAGAATACGTAACCGCGATCGATTTACTAAATTTTGCAAGGCAAATCGCTAATGGAATGGTAATATCAATATTTTAATTATCTATACATTAACAATTTTTTTTTATTTATTTCACAAAACATAATAAATCATTATCTGTAGGAATTTTTGTCTACCAATCGAATAGTGCATCGTGATTTGGCTGCACGAAATATATTGGTATGCTCTGACAATATTGTCAAGATTTCAGATTTTGGTCTTAGTCGTGATATTTATCAAGAAAATGTTTACAAGAAAGAAGGAAGTGGTAAATTGCCATTAAAGTGGATGGCGATCGAGGCTTTGACGCATCAAATATACACAACTCATAGTGATGTGTAATTCTTTAAATTTATCGAATAATTACTTTTTCTCATAGAAAATAGTATGTTTTTTCTGTTTTATTTTTTTCTAATACTAATTATAGTAAAAAAAAAAAATAAATTATTTATTTATTTTCTATGAGGAAAATAATACAACTTTCTTCCTTTTTATTTCCGTTAAAATATTAATCACTTACGAAAAAAAAAATGCTAAAGTTAGTAATAATTCGAATACTGTATTTACTTTTAAAATATATCATTATCAATAGCAAAGTAATAAGTATACATGCATATTTGCAGATGGTCTTTCGGTATTTTGTTGTGGGAAATAGTCACATTAGGTTGCACTCCATATCCTGATGTACCTACGAATAATATCTTGAAGCTTTTAAAAACAGGATATAGAATGGAAAAACCTTCAAATTGTGGAGAAAATTTGTGAGTTTATATGAAATGTTATGTTTTTATCTAATGTTTAGTTAGATTATTACCATTGTGCTTTAATTTTTTGTCCAGATACAATATAATGTATTCTTGTTGGCATCTTAGACCTCAAAGCAGACCGACTTTTACGGAATTGAAGAAAAATCTAGATACGTTACTTAATAATTGGACTGACAATAAATATTTAAATTTGAGTTAAAGATTACAAAAAGTCAATAAAAAAAAAAGAATGATCAGTGCTTTTTGATGAGATACTAAAGAAAATTATATAAATGATTGAATTAATTCTCTTGTTATCATTATAACAAGGAGGGATAGAATAACTATTATTATCAAGTATTAAAGTCATTACTATGTATTACCTTTTAAGAAAGTCATACCATGTGCAAAATCATTTATTTCGTAATTATTTTTACGTACAATAATCTGTGATATAATTCCTTATACATATACGCGTGTATATGACTTTGTGTATGAAAGAGCGCGAGTGTACATGTATAGTGTTTAATAATATTGTGTGTGTGTGTGTGTGTGTATGTATACATATATATATCTTTCAATTTTAATAACTCAAATTTACATTGACAGAAAGTAACTAACTGTAAGATTTTTCTTCGTACTTCATTTTCAATCGTGCGATTTTTAACAATATTATACACATAATATACGTCCTACCATTTGAAGATCTCATTATTAATTACTGATGGTTAATGTTTTCTTGACAAGAACATTAAGATTGAAGAGTCGATTCTGATCGTAGAGAAACGATTGATGCATGATAAAAGATAAAAGCTAAGAAAGTGTACAAGGAACTCGATTATTCGCACAACACCTTATCTTAAATACTTAAGAGATATATATCTGTACTGCATCGGCTAGGCACATTTTTGCTATTGCGAGAGGAACTTTGCGTTTTTATTTTTGATATTAAAAAAAAAAAAAAAAAGAAAAGACAAAAAAGGAAAAAAAACAGAAAAAAAATCCACGCGAATCGACTCATCAATTTAAAGTAAAAAATAGGATTGATTTATTAGATGACAAAAAAAAAAGTAACGTGTGTTTTTTGATGGTACCTTTTAAAGTACAGACAAATATTTTGGACATGTTTTTTTTTTAATATATCGCTTTATTACAATATACTAATAATTGATATGAAACAGAGATCGTGTCTGAATATGGAACTCGATCCATCGGACAGATCTTATCACCAATAGAAGATATCCCTCTTTTTTTTGTACGCATAGTTAGAGTTATATTTAAAGGATAATATAAAAAGTTTATATAACTCAAAATTTCTCAAATGTTAAGATGTTTTCCTGTTCGCATTCAACGCATCAAAAAGTTTCGTAACACGACCGAGAGAAGTACATCTTATCTGTGAACAATAGTTACAATTATTCTGTAATCTTATTTTTGTCCTTCCTTAAGACTATGTACAGTTTACTTGGAAAATTTCTTTAATCGTTAGGCTTCATGGGATATCTTTACGATGCAACGATTATCTTTATAAGTTCTACGATATACAGTTAAAAATGTACATTTTTTATATTATTAAAAAAAAGAGTTAAAACAAAAAATCATACATTACGATATATCAAAGAAATGTGAAGAGCAGTGTTCTCGTTTATACTCAGGCTTTTTTCTCATGGACTTTGTTTCGAATATATTATTATATTTCGGAAATATTATAGATCAAACATAATAAATCAATGTCCCATAAATTTATGCTGGTATCTAAACAATTATATTTAACGATTAACGAGAATACTTCGTAATACTTAAACTGCGACTATTCTGTAAAAAATTGTTGAAGAAGACTCCAACACAAATATTATATTTTATACAAATAATGGTGACGATAATGTGTAGTGATAATGGCCATAAAAATAAATATTAATCATGTACAAGTCATTTTAATATTTGATAGCTGTAAATTAGATAGATTTATGAATCCTTCTATGAACATAAATCATACATTCTTATAATTAAATTTATAATTGCATCAATGCTGGAAAAAAGTAAAAACACAAAAATTTATACATATGCATGTGGTTTTCCGTATTATTTATGAAATGTTATTACTTATTAAATGTACTTTCATAATCTGTGAATTTCAATCTTCCTTTTATTGTAAGAATGATATCACAGAGGAAATTGTTGTATTACAAATGATTATGTTTTTTTTCTTTTTTTTTTTAATTTTTTATTATTACTTTTTTTATTTTGATTTTACTGCGAATAATTAAAAATGCATAGTGATAATTTCAAAGAATGGACAGGCCAAAGTTTTTTCATACATATTTGCAATTTCATTCATCAATAATATTTCCAGTTATAGGTATGCAATTATCTGAGAAATACTATTAATGAATATTTTATACAAGATCATATTGCGATCGTTAATAAGTATACATTTGCTTATAATAAACATAAATCATATTATATGATTATCAAGTACGATATGAAAATTATTTCGGGGAAACGTTTGATAACGAACGAATTTTTATATATAGATTGGTTAAGTTTGATTTAAAAAACAAATGATTTACAAAATAACTATGTAAATTATAATAAGACATTACTTTTAAATCTTATAGAAGAAAGACATGACGTGTTCTTATAAAATAGTAACAATAAGAAAAGTAACTCTAACTGAATATTATTCAATTAATATATTCCTTTCTTTAAAGAGCCAAAAATCACAGACAATGTAGTCTCTCTATATCAGTAAGATAGACCGACAGGAATTTTATCATTGACAATTTCACTGCCTTTTGTACGACTTTCGATGCTACCTATATCAGATGCTATCGTTTCTAATTAAACTATCTTCCTTGTCAACTGGTGGTGGACCTGTGGTAAGTGTCGTACTGGGCCCTGCCGTTAGATAACCAGCAGATACTGGTGTTCCAGCTAGTGAATAATCGAAAATATATATTTTTCCATTCGCGATATTTATATTTATATTTAAATATAAATACCAATTTCAAAATCTTATCTTACCTGTTAAATAGCCTGAGTTGGTTGTGTTGGATATAAATAAATCATGTCGTTGATCTTTATATTCTGCCCAGACACTAGATTTTTCTAGTATAGCATTGACTTTTTCACCTAAAAGTAAACTTTTCGTCATTGCTTTTAAAGCTTTCACTATTTGCGCTTTTGTTGTAGCAGGATTATCGATAACATCTAGCCGACCTTCCAATATATTTAAGAGATATGGCACCATTTCAGCTTCCAGTGCCTAAATAAAATCCAAACATATACTCTATTTTAATTTTTTTATTTAATTACAAAGTATATTATTAATATCTATGCTTCACGATATAACGTACCTGTTTAATAAGTCTATCTTCATTCGTTGAAAATAATCTATTTAAAGTTTCGCATGCTATTGCTATCATATCCCGTCTGGATTGCATAGCATGTTTTAATGGACTTATACATTCTGTTTGACAAATAGATGATATACAAATCTAAAAAATCGAAGAGAAAAGAAATATAATAATACGGTAATTTTTAATTAGAATCATTATATTATAATATCAAATTAATTCACCTCGCTGGTAGCTAATTGGTGTAATATTAATATTGCTGTTTTATATACGGAAGGTTGGTTGTTCTGCATTGCCATTTGTCTACATAGTCGTGGTATATGGCCTAACGATGGTACTTGATCTGCTAATATTGGTTGCACTTGTAATAAACACACCAAAGCTTGTGTTGTAAGCTCTAACATCTCCGGCTGAAAAAATATATTATTATAAACACATTCATATATGATCTGGTGATTACGAAAGTGATCTGTCATATATTTTTCGTTTTGAAATACTTTGACATTTTAGTTTGAATTATTTAAAAATTAGTTTTCTGTAATAAATAAACAATAAAAGTAAGTATATTTATCCTTGACAAAAATAATTCTTTTATGTAATTTAAAAATTTTAAGAATAGCGCGTGACAAAATGTTTCTTAATATTTCAAATGACTTAGACCACTTTCACAATCACCAGCTCATATATAAGATAAAGTGACTTGATATTTTCAGCTAATTATTTTGTAACTCTTACGTCAGTCTTTTCCTTAGACATAAGTGTTAGAATAGTGTCCATAAGTTCACTTAAAAATTCCTTAGGCTTTCTAAGAGCCCATGCAGGACTAGCTATAAATAATCTGAGGTATACGCCGCCTACTACAGGTTCATTTGTAGCGATATCAATATTATTTTGAGTCTCTGGTAACTTCATTATCACATTAGGATTTCGTCTTTGCAATGCGAAATATCTGTACAAAAAATTATTATAATATAAAACAATATATAGTATTTTCAATGATCACTATTAATTAAATTATATAGAACATACTCATCTTTCAATTCAGCAATAATTCTTGAAACTCGTCCTTTAGATTCATCATCCCAAATTAATTCCGGATTTTCGTGTTTTGTTTCAAACATGTGTACACATTGTTTAGGTGAATCACGAATTGCCTCACTAAATAATCTGGGTAAAAATTTAGATAGATCTAATTTTACCCTTGGTCCAGCCAGTTTATCTGAAGACATTTTAGCGAGCAATTCAGCCGCTGTTTCTCGTACCTGAGTGTTACTTGAATTGCAGAATAAATCAAGGACATAAACAACAGCTCCTAAGAATATTAATTATCAAAGAATTATTTTCATTTATTTTAGAATATTTTTTCAATATATTTACACTGACCTTTAGCCAGTGCATCTTTTACGATTTTCGTTGAACTCATCAGTGCATATAAAGTTTCTAATGCAAGAAGTTGATACTCTTTTAGACTATGCAAGCATAATAGTAAATGTACTATCACTTCGTTTGCTGCAATATCACTGACACATTCTTGATTTTTAGTTACATTACTGATTACCTCAAGCGCACTTTTTTGCACTAATTTGCAATTGTTACAATTAACTAATCCAAATAATAACTTGAAATGACCCATACACTGTAATTCTATTCCAGGATTATTTTTAATTACATTTCTTAATGCTTCCAAAGCCATTACAACGTGTTCCAACTTTTCTTTATATTCTTTGCCTAAAGTAACATTTCCAAGAGAAGCTAAACAATCCGATGATTTGGACAGAAATTCAAGCAAATTTATTGTAAAACTTTTTGGATCCTGAAAAATATTAAAAACTTATAATAAGAAGAATACAGAAAAAATAAGAAGAATGAGAAAGAATATAAGAAAATTTATAATAAAAACTTATAATAAAAAAATAATATTAATAATTTTACCTCTATAGGAAAAACTGGTTGTTCATTATATACTTTAACAAATATTTCACCAATAATTAATTCTCCAGCATGAGCACTATATTTGAAATTACTGAAATCATGTTCAAAATTTTCGTTACCATTCAATCTTTCTAATCGCTTAGCTTCTAGATATTCGTTTAACTCTGCTCTAGTTCCATTATCCCAAATCAAATATGGGTTTGAACAATTAGAATTTAATGTCTTTAATATTTCTTCAGGTTTATCTTTGCTAAGCTGACGAGCAAGATAAGGCGTTAAAAGTTTTTCTAAAGCATTCACTGTGACAGGATTATTAGGTGTTTTGTTTTCTCCTGTCATATAACCACCCAATCTGGCACAAGCTTTAACAGCCAATTTTGCCAAATTATTAGCAACTTCTTGTCTATTCTCATCTTGAGTTCTTTCGACGCCACCTTCTTCTAATGTATAATCGTAATTAAACATAAACAGCAACAGATGCCACAAAGCATCAGATTTAAATAATTCCATTTGTAGAATACTATCTGTAGCAAGCGATGAAACACATTCGGTAGCAACCGAACATAATTTTGTCAAATGCTGTTAAAAATATTCGATTTAATGTTAGATCACATTTTATAATAATTAAATTCGACTATATTAAAACTGTGTACAAGCTGTCTCATAATAAATGTTACAAAATATTAAATATTAAATTTATCAAAGTACTTACTCTGAAATGTAATATTCTGCACAAATCTTTAACCAATTGTGGTAACTCTATAATTTTATCTCTGCATCCACTAAATGATCCAGCAACAGCGAAACATTTGGTAATGTGCATACATACTTGTACCGCGATATCGTTAGGTTTACTTGATTTGTTCAAAACCGAAACACATCGAGTATAGGCACGAAGTAAAACCTCTAAACCATCTTCTCTTCGTAATTCTTCCGCATTTAAAGCAGAACAATGAACCGTATGATATGCAAGTTCACTAGCAGCAGCCAACAATGGTGCAGATTTTGAAAATAAACGTTCATCATCCGATTCTAATTTGATCGTCTTAATTAACTGAGGATAACCGGCATATTTATATGGCCTAAGTTCTTCTGTATATCTATGAAAAAGAATACTTTGTGTTCTCAAAATAAGTACTATATTATCAGGATTCGGACCATCGGTAGTCCAACAGCTGCGACTACATAAAAATTCATATGCTTGATTAACTGCCTCAAATTTATCCTAAAGTGAAAAATATATATATTATATATCGTATGATGTTAATTGTTTTAAAAGCTATACTTATTAATGCTAACTTAGTACTTACTCTGCCTTGAGGGTTTTTATCAGGGTGATACATTTGAGCTAATTTGTAATATGATTTTCTAACATTTGCTTCATTGTGTTGTTCTCCAACAGGCAAACCTAATACTTTGTAAGCCTCATCAACTGTCATTAAAGGTGGTTTCTTTTCTACCTCTTTTTTCCATGCATTCAATACGTCTTTTAATAATTGCACCTGTATATCAGTAGTAATAAATAATATAAGTATCACGATATAACATAAAAAGATCTGTAACCTCGACTTACAGGTTCAGGTATAGGCCATTGCGGAAATTTGACAGTATCGCACAAATGTCGAAGATAAAATATTTGACAAAATAATTCATTTTCCAATTGTGGATACCTCACAGCAGGTATAGCAATGTATTGATATTTGGCCATAGTATGACTTCTTAATTTCGGGGTAAAATCGGCAATATGTGCGGCTATTTTTTCAATAAGCATTCTTCTCATTTCAGCATTCCAAATTGCTTCCGGAGTATCAAAATCACCTAGAAATATTTGTGCAAATTTCTCTGCACCATGATTTTCTAAATAGCTCACCATGGCATCGGGTAAAAGTTGACCAAGAATGCTTCGTTGCATAATGTCAGAAGATATGTTCTGAAGATATAATTACAATGTACATTTATAATATTTAAAAAATTAATTATGAAAATAATATTATTGGAACATTATACATACGTCATCGCTTCTAAAAGCCTGTTTGGTGTGTGTCAATTGTAAAAATCTTGCTATAGGTAGAACATTGGAACCAGTGTACATCAATATGAAGTAAAAAACACCAGTGAGATAAATTTTTGAGACATCTGCATTGTCACGCATTATTTCACATAATAATGTAGCGACTCTTTCGACCAATACGGGATCGAAGGTTAATAAGAGTTGTACAATATGTGGTAAACATTGAAGGTCCGACAAGAGACGTTTAACACGTGGTAATGGCCTAATCACAGCATCGTCCGCATCTCTACTTGGAAAGTATTCGCACATTTTAATTAAGATATTTAAAATCAAAGTTGCTAATTCACTTTCATTGATTACTGGAATTCCTCTTGCAACTAAAGTCCATTTCAATTGTGGTACTTGAGATATCATCCTCCATCCATCCAATCCTTGTGCCCAAACCTTTGTTTTATAAGTTATCTTACTTGTCGTATATAAATCTTTCAGATCCTTTAGACTTATGGGACCCTTACGCGTATCGCCATCGTTATAATACCATTCTTTTTCCATCATCCTCTCTTGTTGTGGACCTGCTTCTATGACATTAGTTTGCGTGGGTACCACAGCACGAGAAGTATGTAAATGTGCTAATGTTAAAAGATCTACAAGCGCTCGTACACCATTCTGATCCATTATCTCTTTAACGTTTCTTCTGTGTTGAATGAGTTTCTTTATGAACATAACTAATCGATCACGCTCCATTCTATCGGTGCACCGATCCAACATTCCTACTATATATTTTGTGTCTGAGAATGGTCCAATATCTTCGTAATATCGTCCATACACTATAGTCATTGCTTGCAAGCAAAGGCACTTCATTTCGACTTTTGTTGTTAACAAGAATCTATGGTATAAGTCATTAAAAAATTCATACCTATATGAAAAAAAAAAGAGTTAAAATTTTATTATCATATAATCTTACATTTTAAATATATTTACATACTATCGTATATTTATTTACTTACGATTTTCGAATTGGACTCTCTGGGCTATCTCTTTCTAGTAGCAGCCTCAAGTAATAATCTCCAATTTTGACTTCATCTGATAGGCACTGATATTGCACTTCGAATTCTCTGTAATTCCATGCAATTAAGGTTCCACCTGCTAATTCTTTATCCGAGGTAAATGCACGTATTTCATGATCGAGAGCAGTTCTTAATTCCTCTCTTGTTTTATGGTTCCATATTAAATTAGGTAACGAATGATCTTGATTGAATTTATAATAAAACAATTTCCAATTTGCTTCAGACTTAATTCTTTCTCTGCGTTTTCTTAAAACTATTGGACGTTCTTTGATTTTTTCTTGTCTTTCTATACCAATGCGTGCACCCCAGTGTTGAAGAGCATGTTCCACATGCTTCTCTACTAATCGCACTTGGCGTTCGATCATAATCCACTGTGGACTTTTTTTATTTTTCGATGCATGGTCTATTGCTATTTTCAAATTATCACGATTATTTAATTTTTCTTCTTCGAGAAATGAATCAGGAACTTTTTCATCGGAGTCTAAATAATTTAGTAAACCAACGGGCTATAGAAGATAATATAAGTTTTGTGAACAATATAGATACATGTAAGTAAATATAAAAGTTTGTAATCTCTTTATCTATAAAAAAATGATATTTTTACCATAATTCGTTTTAATAATCCCATAGCTGTAGGATGTCCTGTCACCCATAATCCTACTAAATGTCTGCATAGTTGTCTGTGTGTCAGAAGTCTACTATCATTGCCGATAGTAAAGAGGCTATATAAAAGATGCCTTGGTAAAGCTCCTTCAGCAAGAGCTAGTTCTTGCATTTTTGCAGCCACTTCAGGTGCACCTTCTTCTATAATTGCTCTCATTATCAAACCAGCTCCTTTAACAATAGCCAGTGACGGATGTTGAAATAATTTGAAAAGAGATCTACCCCTTGCTGCAACCATCTCTAAAAGGTTGTCAAAATGTTTTCCATCTGTAGTTTCACTATATGGTACACATAATGCAAAAGTTAATAGATCAAGCATGGCAGAAACTACTAAAGCACCAGTGCCATGATTCTGAAATGTTCAAAGTATATACTTGAAGTCGTTCTTTGTATTTCAAGACTAGAAAAGATATATATATTGAAATACTTACAATATGATTAATCCACATTTCAAGTAAACTTTCTAAAAATTTGTTACTACTAAGAAGACTGCTTTTGTTTAATTGTTCTTGCCTTAGGTCACAATCATCATGCATTGGTTGCATAAGCGCACATATACAATCTATAGCAGCCTGTGTAACACCACAATCTTCTCTCTTTAATGCTTTTACAACTCTAGTACCAATAGCTTCTCTAAATCCAGCAAAAGAGGTGAATGCAGTGAATCCAACTTTACTTGCTACTAATCTTCGTATAGCATGAAACTGTGCTTCGATCTCATCATTCCCTTCTAGCTCTTTATTTACTAAGGTGCTTAAGGCAGCAAGTATAATTTTCTCTTTATTCTCAGTAAAAAGTCCCTGTAAGTAGTTATTCATCACACTGTACAGTTGAAGCTGTAAGCTTGGTACAGTCCATTCAAGCGGTGTACCGTCCTGAACAAAGGGAAAAAATCTCAGTTTGCATGTTTTCTACGTATGATATCAGACAGAAATACCTCAGTTGAATCGTTTTAATGATGTCATAGAGATATTTATGTTTCAAGTAATAGCTGTTTCTTATTACGAAATATTTAGTACTCATGTCAAGTATAGATCCCGAGATATTTCCGTCTTGATCAATTGTAACCGCTTCAATGTACTGTAGGCCTATATTGTTAGTTTTTAAAATATTAAAACAAACTGTTTACTGAGAGATATCTTAATTATAATTATCAATATGAATTTTCTCTTACATCTTGAGTTATCGAATAATTGAGACCACTATACGGTATATTAGCATTAAACCTTTCCAAAATTTCTGCAAAAGTACGTCCTCCTGGTGGTTGTTGTAAAAATTTAACATGGGATATTTCTACTTCTTCATCAACAGATAAATTAAGAGGTCCTAATCTTTTTCCCCTTGCAATTGGGTGCATTCTTACATGAGCATCTCTATTTCCAGATGCTCTTACACCATCAAGTAATGAAGCTAACAGGGAATCTCTGTCTGTTGCAGTGTAACTTCTTATTTGTCCATTTAAATATTGTATCGTAAATAATTGTGGATTTTTATTATCACGAATAAGAGCAAAAATATCTGATAGTGGTCTAAGAGTACAAATATTATATGTTTGTGGATCCCTTTCCAATAAGCAAGTATCAGAAAGGCAAAGTGTTCTTTTTTGTGGTTCTTTATATCTAGGTGAAATTTTATGAACAGTAAATTCTGATCCGCTTGTTATATGTTCATCACTACTGAATTTGCCTAATCTTTGTGCAAGAAAATCTTTAAATTTTATTGGTTCTTTTAAAACTTTTATATTGATTCCTAGATTATTTATTGCTGACTCCAATAGTTTCTTTTTTATTTCCTCTATCTGAGAAGATGCAAAAAGATGTAAACGTCCAAATCCACCACAAACAATCACAAATCCATTACGATAGTCTTTCATCGTAGCGATGCCTTCAAAGTCCTTATAACAATAACTGGAAAGTAACATGTTCGTTGTAGGATCCAGCTGATCAAGACTATATGGAGTTACTTCCAATACTATTGGTAATGTTGTATCAGACCAATGGCATTTAACAGCATGATATTTCTATAAATAAGGAAGATATCTTACTATCTAATAAGATTAATAATACTCAATTGTAATATTTATTTATTATAGTATGTAATTTAAAAATCTTTTGTTTTGCTATATAAAACATATTATACGCTAACATAACAACAAGCAACATATGTTTCTAAAAATTACTTCATAAAAGAAATTTTATATATATATATATATATATATAAACTTGGATCTCTTTTTATATGATGAAATTATATTATGCAAAAAAGTCATATAAAAAAATCATATAAAAATTGATTCACAAAAAATATAGAACTTGTGTTAAATTAATGCAAATTATACAAAAAATCAATTAAAATATAGAAGTACATTTATTAAAAACATTTTGTTTAATAAACGCGTAAAAAGAAAATTAATCTGCTGAGAAAAATGAATAGAAATATTTTTTTCTTTTATTAAATACGTATGATTTTCATGACATTTTCTGTAAACTAATTAATGTAAGCTTCTGCAATTGTGAAAAAATAAATAAAACCTTTGAATAAAATATGTACAGAAAATCATTATGCAAAAAATATATATATGTGAATTATGCAAAAAAATATCATGTAAAAAGACACCCAGATGCGTGTGTATATATATACACTTATGTATGTGTTAATGATAAAGAACAGATAGAACATAATACTATCCCATGCATAGGTGTATCATGACCATATGGCTAACATGATAACAGATGTGCCATTGAAATTTAATACAGAATTTCAATATAGGAGAACACGTATATAACTGATGACTCACCAAAATTTCTTTTGATTTCTCTGCAAACTGATTTCTATATTTGAGTGCTTCTGTTAACAAATGTGCTCTATGTTCTGAACTAAATTTCATTGTATCAACTTTACGTTCTTTCCGCATAGTTATGCTGAATTCACAGGAACCCAACTGATGCTTATTTGTAGGTTGTATACTAATAAATTCAGAGTAATCCCATTTATTAGTAACCTCTAAGGTCCCAGGATTATATGTCGTAATACCCATGGATCCAATGGAAAAAATACGTTTGTACCTATAATACATTTCATAGAATCTATATTTATGTATATCCAAATAAAAAATTTTAAACTTTCAGAGATATAAATTTTATAGTTTTATCAAATAAATATTATTATATTGCATATTATTTAAATATATCTGAATATTTATAATATAGTTAACATTGTAAGAGAGTTTTACTATCTTTCTTATCTAAAGATAATGGTTTATATAAAGTACATGTGTTAATAAAATTTTGTCATTAGAGAATCATTTTTATATAGTAACGTATAATTTTACTAAAAGAATGAATAATGAAAAAATAATCTTTTCAAGATAATAAAAAATTAATCTAACAAAACAAAGTACATAGACTTACTTCCCTTTCCATGAATGTTTGGTGACCAGAAAGCATGCAAGATCCTGGTTATCCTTTAGTGGCATCATTGTCTCATGTCCTGAAGACGCAACAAAGATACAGTTTTAAATAATATTTTAATAACAAAACACTGCACAATACTTGCATCTGCCAAGTAGTGTTAGGGAACATTCGCAAAACGAATAGGAAAAACCGTGTGTGAGTCTTTATATTAGAATACGAATATGTGAAACGAAATGTCAATTCAATTTTTGTGAATATCGATAATAATTTAACTGCGTGAACTAACGAAATCTTAACGCGTTTTCTTGCATTTCAACAAACAAATGTCATTTTGAAGACTTCCGTTGGCCTGGGAGCAGCCATGTTGAATCAGGGGTGTTAACAAAGCTGTTTCTAGATGTCACTGCGTATGTGCCTTTAAGATTTGTTCAGATTCGTTATTAACCAGGTTAAATAAATGATTTAATTGCGTTTGATTCTGAAAAATTTTATTGTAATAATTCTATTTAATTTTATGCGGGTTTGTGTAAATTTTCTTAATATTTCTTTTATTACGAAATAAATATTATTTATATACTGTGTAATTATAATTCTACAAAACTTTGTTTATGTATCTGTTTCTTATTTCAGTGAATAAAACAAAAAAATGACAGAGCATTGTACACAAAGTGAAAGTGACGAAGGAGAAGTTAAATCAGATTTTGGAGAAGATCTAGATGAAGAATTGCAATCTTTACCTCATGTATTACAACTGATACGTAAAATGCGTGAGCATATTAAGTGGCAGAGTAAAAAGATAAAAAAATTACGTAATAAATTACAAGAACAGGTATTCATAATACAATTATATCTAAAACTAATCTCTTCCATTAGTTTTCTTCTATCGATATTATTTTTATAGAAAAATCAAATGAGGAATAAAAGTTTCGTAGAATATGGTACTCAAACAGATCCTTTAGAATATGAAAATAAATATTTAACACAAAATTGGGATCTAAGTAACAATAAAAAATCAAATAGTTTAATCGAACAAGTAAAGCAAGTATCAGAATCTGCATTATTACAAACTGGTTTCGTATATGAGGAAACATCAGGATTATATTATGATTATAATACAGGATATTATTATGACGCTGTAAGTTATTATTTTTTATATAAAGTTATTAATTATAAATTACATTAAAAACAATATAATAAATATATTTTATAGAAACAAGGACTTTATTATGATGGAAACAATGGAACGTATTATTATTATGACGAAGGCAGTAAAACATATAAGTTCCACAGCCATGCACACGCAGTTGTCAACAATATTGCACATTCCCAAGAAACCAAAAAGGAAGAAAAATCAGATGGCGAAAAGGCAAACAAGGTAATAAAAAATTTAAGGATAACGATAGGGATATAAAAATACAAAACATTAAAAATTATAAAAATGTAGAAGGTAGAGCCTATTGTATATATCTGACTTTTATTTGATTTCAGGTTTTGGATGAGATAAATGAGTTAATATGTGGACTTACAAATATAAAATTGAAAGATACAGACGTCATGCCCTAGGTAATTATCTTATGCTTTTAATATGCACATATATCTCTTTTGTAGGATACGGTGAAAAAACGCAAACTCGCACAAGATGGAGAGAGCTTAAAAGAAGATGAGCCCGAAGAGGGTGAATGCTCGGACAGTGATAGCGAACAGAGCTCTTATAACGTTACACCAGAATCGTCCATAAATAGTGAGACTGAGAATGAGGAGGAACAAAGTTCAAAGATTAATTTTTGTATTTTTATTTTATCAGATTTCATATTATATCTAAATATATTTACTTAGTTACAAATAATATTAATTTTGTTCTCAAAAATTATTAATATATATTTAGTATAATTAAAAAAATGCAAATTTATTTTTGTTTCAGATATAGCAAAAACATATCCACCATGTATGAGAATAATAGTCAAAGAAACAAACCTTCCAAAGTTAAAAGTAGGTTCACTTTTCCTTGTAGCATACACAGGTGGTTCAATGGGTAAAGAAGGAGATCATTCTGTTATAATACCAGATATAAATGTCAGTAAGGTACGTAATAAGCGAGATTTTAAGTGGTATCTTTGACGTCATATCAGATAGTGATTATCGATTATATAATATTTAACGAACGATAACGATTTCAGCATCACGCACGATTTCTTTATAACGAGACAACGAATTCTTATTGGATAGTAGATTCAGGCTCAAGAAATGGTACATATTTAAATGGAAAAAGATTATCTGTAGCTAAACAAGAGTCCGAATCGTACGAGATAATACATGGTTCGATCATTCAAGTGGGCGGTACAAAATTGTTATGTCATATACATAACGGAAATGAAACTTGCGGTCATTGTGAACCAGGGTTGGTTCAACACAATGTAAACACAGAAGAGAATGTATTCTCGAAAAGAAATCTTCATAAAAAAGAATTGAGAAGGTTAAAAACAAAATTTGGTGTAGAAAAAGATAACGTTGCTTCTGCCAGTCAATTAGCAAGTGGTTATCGGGATAGAGCTCAAGCTCGTAGACAGTGTGTTGGTTCTTCAAATCATCATGCCAAGACAGAACAAAGTTCAATCGACACGTGAGTGACGATTAAATGTTACATCAAAGTATATATTAATATAATCCTTATTCGCATATTTATCTTACAGATCGATAGCGAAAGATAACCGAGGATTTAAATTACTATCTAAAATGGGATGGTGCGAAGGTCGTTCTCTAGGAAAGGATGGTGATGGTAGAACCGAACCGGTGAGTACTTTTATTTTTTAAATAAATTTATTTATAAAATGGAGAGATTTATAATATGAATGAAGCGTAAGAGAAAATAAAAAAGCGTAAATCGAAAGATAGAAAAGATAAATGGTACTATCAATATTTTTTTTTTATTTAATAGGGAATGCTAAAAAATTGTACTTTTATCTCTATGGAACGCAATAGATAGAATATAGGTCAGTGAGTGGAAATAAAAAACACACAACTTTAATAAGCTCGCTCGTTAATCGTAGAAAGTTAACGATGCAACATCAACAATTCAAACACGATTTATTTTTTCAAGACAAAGATCAACTCGTTCGGTCATATTCCCTCTTTATTTTTGTAAATCAGATTCAATTTGGTTTATATATTTGTTCTCTCTCTTTCTCTCTCTTTTTCTTCTTCGTCCGACTAGGATGACTACAATATCGACGACGACAACGACAATGATGACGAAGGCAGCAAAACGAGTTCAGACGGCACGAGCAGAGCATTCGTATGATAACGAGCGTAACTCCTGTGAAATGTATAGAATAGGTGTAGGAAAGAGAGAGTAGAAGAGGGAAGAGAATTATCCCACATACACACCACTCTTTATAGAGAGTGAGAGAGAGAGAGAGAGAGAGAGAGAGAGAGAGAGAGAGAGAGAGAGAGAGAGAGAGAGAAAGAGAGAGAGAGAGGAAGAGAAAGCGAGTGCCTGATATCGAAGGGACGAACGGCAGTGTTGAGAGGGACTCTGTGGAAATGAATGCAAATGTATTGAAATCCAAATCATTATTTTGTCTAGACGCATCGTATGCTCTATTGCACCCCGACCATTTCTCTCTCTCTCTCTCTCTCTCTCTCTCTCTCTCTCCTTCTCTCTCATTCGCTCGCTTGCTCTTCGTCTCCAGAATTTAGCTGGCTGCTCGATGGGACAAACGTGGATTAAAGGATTTCTTCTCTCTCTCTCTCCCTCTCCCTCTCTCTCTCTCTCTCTCTCTCTCTCTCACTCTATCTCTCTCTTCTTTTTTACACTTCGTGATCGCGAACCTAATTTTGTTGTTCTTCATTTCTTTTTTCTTCGTATCTTGAAGGTTACTCCGATCCGTTTTTTTTTCTTTTTTCTTTTTTTAACAACGTACCAAAACTTTTACCATTGCGAGAGACGACTATTGGAAGTACCGGTCGTCTCTTTCTTTATATCTTTATCTCTCTTTCTCTATCTCTTTCTCTCTTTCTCTATCTCTTTCTCTTTTTCTCTACCTCTCTCTCTTTTACTCTTTTCCTCCCCTTTTTTGTCCTCTTATTTGCTCGTAAAACTTGGCGGGTCCTTAAGACGATCGAAGATGTACAACACAGTAGGTCGGGCATATAAATGAGAGAATGTATTTTTAGCTTGTCGCCTCGTCGTCGCATTCTTTTCTTTTTCATCGTTCACTCGCGAGATCATCGAGAATTTGACGAGGTGTGTTGTACTTTAGAATGAATGAAAAAAGAAAAAAAAAAATAAATAAGAATAAAGAAGGAACGACGAAGGAAGGAATAGAAATTTAATCGGTCGAATAAGTTTTTATTTTAATTCTTCTTTTGTTTTTTTTTTTCTTTTTTTTGCAAGAACGACTTTAATCGTAACTTTTTTTTCTTTTTTTCATGTTCTTCTTCTCTTTTTCCTTTTTAATAGCAAATTAGATGAAGAACCATTTTCTTTTACATCGGTTTTTACATTCTTTCCTAAGTAAATAGCTATACTTCCTTTATCGTGAACAATGAAAACGAACTCGCAAGTGCATTTCGCACGATTCTGACCTACATCGTAAACGGAAAATGTAGGAAGAAATTCTGGAAACAGACAGAGGTGAAGATATCCTTGGGAAGGATTCGTTTTTCCAACGGGAAAACCGTAAAGCGAACATTGTAAAGCCGAGGAATAACGATTGCTAGTAAACCGCGAGGACGTGATAAAGTATAAAATCGTGAAAAGGGAGAAGAGATCGCCCTTACGGAAAAGGGCAACGCTTTCGTCGATATCTCCTTGACGGGTTCATTTATTTGAGTGCTTCGATCAAACAACAAATTTTTTTATAGTTTACCTTAGCGAACGCTACTATGAAGAAAACGAAATTCTATTAGAATACGAAAACTTCTTTAATCGTTTGTTCGATTATTTTAAATGTCATTGGATTAGCTAAATTCATGTCCTTTTTTATTAAATTTAATATGAATTAAATTTAATAAAAAATACACGATAGATACAATTCAATAAAAAAAAAGTTTATTTTATTTATTTATTTATTATTATATGTACTAGTATATATATATTATTACATGGACTAGTATTTTCGATGTACGAATATATAATTAAATATTAAATATCGAACAACTTTAAAAGACGATATCAAAAATATTCTTAAAATATTAAATACTTTAAAAATATTTTATTGCCTAAACCGTATTTGAATTAGAATGAATTCTTTGCAACGAATGGTATAGTCGATTCTGAGACTGCATTCGTTCACTACACAATTTCATTTTATGGACATTCACGTGCAGTATCCGATAGGACGTTGAAAGCATCGTTTCTATCTTCGATAGCACCCTTTTTTACGATTTACATCTACTTCTATATTGCTTCGACATTTTACAGCTTGAGTCTTGGAAGAGGTGCTTGATTAATGACGCTGTAAATAATCTAAAGTATTTCAACGAAAACAATGAATCCGTTCCTTAGTGCTTTCATAAAATTTGTTTTTTTTCTTTTTTCTCTATCTCTGAAATAGGTAATCCTTGTTTTAAAAGAAGGATTTTGTCTTTTGAAAGATTGTTTCTTTTTCTTTTTATATTTAAAACTAATCATTTAGCAACAATGATTTCTTCTTTCAACTTTATATAAAAGATCATTTCTGATTAGAAATCGTATATTTTCAATTTTTTCCTCGTTCAATAAAATCATTAGAAATTATTTAATTTAATATAGAAGATATAATATGAATAGAAGTCATTTTTTTCTTTCTTTTTTTCTTTGGACGTTACGTTCTTTGGAAATATTGTGAAATTATTGCGGATATATGGAAATGAAATTAATGACGTTACGATTTGATAAGCGTATGTATGAAAGGAAAAACGATAATAAAAGAGTAAGGATTAGTAAAAATGAAAAAAAAGAAGGAATAGAGAAGGAGGAGAAAAGTCTGATCTTGACAAGGCGACTTTATTTCTTGGCCGTACCTGTTGCTGGCATATCC